TGCGCAGTTAAAATTTTTGAAAAAATCAGCTGATATTCGATAAAAAATAGCTTCGAAGTTAGATGGATTTGTCGGAATATTGACGATGAGTGGGAAATGACATGTGAAGCTGGACGATGAATCGGAAATGACATCTGAAGCATCTAAAGTAAGAACAAAATAAGTTTTACAATTTTTATACAGTAAACTTGAGATTTGCTAGTATCATCCTTTAGTATGGTTGAAGGGTTCACTTTTAGCTGAAGTAAAGATAAGGTAGGCTCAAAAATTAGTGTATGATAAGACTAACGTAAAGCTAAAGTAGTGCTTGAAAAGATAAGTTTAGCATTAAGCTAAACCAAGGCTAAGCTAGGAACAGAATAAAAACAATTTGACTATTATAAGGCTAGTATATTGCTAGATTTAGGCAAGAATGAGGATAAAATAAAGCTAGAGTAAAGGTTGAAAAGATAAGTTTAATGCTAAGCTAAGGCAAGGCTAGAATAGGAGGTAGACAAAGATAGAAAGCTGATTTAGGGAGGAGGATGATACTGCTGGTACGATTCTGGTTTTAGGTAAGAATAAGGCTTTGATAGGGCTAAGGTTAAGAAAATATAAGGCCAGGGTAGAAGTAACGTTAAATTAGAATAAAACTAGGAGACAACTAAGGTAGGGCTATTGCAAGAGGGCTGAGCAGGCTTGAGTAAAGTTAGAGTAAGTTTGGGTAGGGCTAAGGAAGGGCTAGGTTAGAGATCTGGGCTAGGGCTCTGGGCTGGGGTTCTGGGCTAGGGTTTTGGGCTAAAGCTCTGGGCTAGGGCTCTGGACTAGGGCACTGGGATAGGGCTTTAGGCTAGGGCTCTGGACTAGGGTTCTGGACTAGGGCTCTGGGCCAGGGCTCTGGGCTAGGTCACTGTAAACAATTTTTATTTTTTTTTAAATTTTTCAGTGTTAGTTTTTGTTCAATATTATCAAATCTCATTTCAAATGTCATTTTTAGCAACAAAATCTACAGTACAGTAACCTTGTAGCCTTAATAGTATATTTATAGCTATTTTAGCAATACCATTCTTTGTAATATTTTATAACCTTTATTTTTAAAAGTCATATGCTTATATTCACGTGAAAGCCAGAATTCTTTTTTAAAATTTTCGGACTTTCTGAAACTTTCTTTGTCGTCTCTTCAAATGTAATGATGTCTCGGTTTCTCGAAAAATCCTCGGGGTTTTTGTTTCTTTTACCACACAGCTGGACACAGACTAAAACAGAAAAAAGGTTGTGATTGGAAGAGGTTTTTGGACATTCTGTACGTTCTTTGGCACGTTCTGATTGAGTGTGATTACGGATGTTGTACAGTATGCTTTATGTGGGGTTTGTTAAGGGTAAGGTAAGCAAAGGAGGGAATTCATTAAAAGTTTTTAAGCCAGTATTGTAGTTTTTGAGCCCTAGCCCACAGTCCTAGCACAGCGCCCTAGCTCCAGCCCTAGACCAGAGCCCTAGCTCAGAGCCCTAGTCCAGAGCCCTATCCCAGAGCCCTAGTCCAGAGCCCTAACCCATAAACCTAGCTCAGAGACATAGTTTTACTCCAGTTTTAGCTCTAACCTTAGATTTAGCTATTCCTAGCTCTACGCTATTACTGTAGTTTTAAGGACCGGAAACGTCTGGCATGTTTCAACGTAAAAAAATTTAGGCCGGGTCTAAACGAAAGATCGGGCCGGGCCTAAAAAATGGGTCCGGCCCGGCATGTTCCACATGTCTATGGCCAACTATAGCTTAAACATGGGGACGGGCCGAGTACAGCCTACTTTTCAGGCTAGGCCCGCTTCTTATTTTTTTGTGGTCTGGCCTGGCCCGACCTGCTTCCCCCCCCTTCATATCTACTTCATTCTAATTTTAAATTTCTTGTAGCTTTACCATCAACCAGGATCTAGCCTTAGTCCTATCCATAACCCCAGACCTAAACCTAGCCCTAGCTCAGAGCCCTAGCGCTATATTTATTGCTCTGTCCTAGACTTTTCTTTATGCTTACTCCTCTACTGTTCTAGTCTTTTAACTCTTGAATCCAGTAACTTTATGTTCAATTACCTTTTCCCATTCAAGTACATCAATATCAAATGTTTTAAATCATTGAACTCTTCAAAAACTTTCGTTAAATTCCAAAACCATGACGAGAAGCTTCTCTCGCGAAGGGCGAGGTAAACAGAAAACAAAGTGTTTCAAGCCGCTTTCAGTGATTGTTGTTTGGCTAGCTCCAACACGAACTCTAATCACCGAAAACTGCAGAACTGATCACTCTTTTCGCCGTTGTTATTCGAAAACTCTTTTTCATAGACATGTGAACAACAACAAAACAACCCGAACCTAAAACACCAAACAGTGATTTTTGATATTGAGAGGGCTAGCAGTGTGTAAGGGGTGTTATCAGCGGTTACTGTCGTTTTCTATACCTTGTACTTGACGAAATCGACGGGTAATGAAACAAAAATTGTAACGATATTTTGAGTAATTTTGATTGGGGAGGAGGATTTTAGGTAAATTTCGATTTGGAAGGAAATTTTTGAATCATTTTGATTGGGGTGGGGGGGGGGAGGGGAATTTTGGTTTGGGAGGGGACTTTGATTTGTGGTGGGATTTTTGAGTCATTTTGATATAGGAGGGGATTTTGATTTGCAAGGGGATTTTTAAGTAATTTTGATTTAGGAAATGATTTTAGAGGAATTTTAAAACCTATTTTTAAAAATTCTAACTGGTCCCTGCGTATTTTACAATTTTAAGGCAAGTTTTTAAGTTTGGTACAACAACATATTGTACTTGATGAAAATGTTGAAAACTTACCTTGATGTTGAGTTTTTTCTTTACAATTTTGTTGAACATGGCTATAGTAACTTTTATTTACTAGCTTGTAGCCAAATGTGCGATATTTCTTGTTTTTGACCATAATCTATATTAACATAGCCTTATTTGCACTTTTAAAAACATTTTTTTCGAAACTCAATAACCGGGTTTACTTAAAACTTTCTGTTTTTATAAAACACAGTCTTTTAAGCGTAACACTAATAAAAATATTTTTGTTATACTTGGCAATTTTTTAAAAATCGAAAAAGTTTGATTTAGAACCACTTTTCCCAAATAAGCCTAATTTTTTGGATTTTTAATTATTTGAAAGTCATTTTTGCAAAAAGTCAAAGTTTTTTTTATATAAACTACTTCTTTGGTATTTTATACTGATGTTTGATAACAATTACTAAATAGATCTTTAAAAAGTTTGGTGAAAAATGAATTTTCGCAAGACCACCCCACCTTGTTTTAGACGATTTTTGATGTTTTGATCTTTAAAACAGATAAAAATTCACTTTTTGAGCTCGAAATCATTCTAAATACCAGCCAAGACAGTTCTACAGGTCTGCCCAGAAATTTAAGTCTAGTCCAAAGCCCATTTTTACTATAATATCAGTTTGCAGACCAATCGTTCATTATAAGGTCTTATGCACCCAACAGTATTTATTGACCCCACTTGTACTATTCCTTTTACTCCATCGAATATGCTCTGTAAATAATCTACTGTAATGTTTTCGTCGGTTAAACTTTTGTTATTCGTTTATCGATAACGGATTACTTGTTATTTATACCTAAACGTTACAGCAAGCGGGGCGGTTGCCCATTTTTAGCAAGTCTCAATGATTAAACGTGTTTTCACGTGAAGCAGCCGATTGTTGGCTGTAAAGTTGTTTTTCGTCATCGTGAATTTCTTCCAGAAGCCCCAAGGCAATTTTTGATTTTTTTGGTGAGAGAGCGTGTGGTTCGGAGAGACGCCAGTGAGTATCCGGCGAGAGAAAAATCTAAAGGAATAAGAGAACGCAGTGAGTGAAGAGAGCGGGTAGAGAAAGCGCGAATTAGGCAAAAATCGAGAGAGAGCGAAAAGACCGTTCACAAAAGGGAGCGCGTGCAGAGAAAGTCCATGCTCTCGGAAAATGAAAGAGAAAAAACGAAAGAGCGTTACAGTTGAGGAAAGCGTGTCAGACAAAACCATCTGTCAGAGAAAAGGCGAGAAAGCTTGCGTTTTCGAGAAAATTAAAAATTTTACAAAAAAAATATGGCTGGAAAACAAAATTCGAAGGAACTTTCTTTACGAATTATGTTTGGAAAAGAATAATAAAGGTAATGATATTGTTTTTTAGTAGCAAAATTGCGGGAAGAGTGGATTTTTCGTGCAAAAAATCGCCAGAATCCGCGGATAAATCGAATTACTCTGATTTATTACTGTTTTGATCGTGCAAATCAGGTAACTTTACTTTGTTTTGATTAGTTCAAGTAAATTTCTTCAATTTAGATTTTAAACGAATCGTTTTTAAAAGGTTTTTTTATTATTTAGCTATTTGTTACCTAAAATATAGTTTATTACCTAAAATTTATATTTTCGATGCCAGAACGTTAGTATTGTTACCTAAAATCCAAAAATAGCCAAAAATATGGAAAGGCTGTTTTTGAACGTTCGAAAACTTAATGTACAGCCACGTACCGAATGTGCCCCGAACGTGATAATCACGTCGCTGCCCCTCTTTAAAGATTGTTTTTTGCTTTCAAAACAACTTTTTGTTATTTACAGTGCAACAATTTAGTCCACGCCCCCTTTGTGTGCTTGTTTTGAGTTTCTTAACTATAAAAGTTGAGATTAGCCTATAAAATTTGACTTTTCCATGATTCTTCAAGCATTTTCATGGGCTTACTGGGGCTGTAACTGGCTCATATTGAGGTTACTAGCTCTACAATATGACTGTAATAAGATAATACTACTATAATTTGATTATCATAAGAGTTGACATTAAAGTTTTCTGCAACCCAGTTTTTTTTTTATTTTGTCATGGATAACATCGGTTTTTGGGAAAATTTTGAACTTTTTCGAACCTAAAACAATATAAACTTGTAGTTATATGAAAGTCTACAGTATTTTACATATTTTACCGTGATATCAATTTCAAACTACATCAACTTTTCTTAAAATCAATCATTTTAGAATATTAACCATGACTTCGATAATGAATTTTGCCAACGAGCCAGTAGATGAAACTGGCCATCTCTTACGAAGAATCCGACTGAATCCAGAAGTTTCTGACGCATTTTTGACACATTATCTAAAATCCAATGTCCTACCCAACCATCTGCCATTGTGTCGTTATGCTGTGAGTTTGGCTTTGATATTGTGATGGAATACGGGGTTCTAAGTCGTATTTTACAAAAAATAGGTCGAAATTTGAAAAATTGTTTTGATGGAATTGAAGAGGAGGGCCTGTTGTAGCTTATAATTTTTGTCTGAGGTCATTTGCATTGATCTAAAGTTTTTTATGATCGATTTTATATTAACCACGAGGTTGGTCTCAAGGATAATAAAATTTTTGATCGTTTTGTTGACTTTCTTTGAATTTTTAGGATAATTTGATGATTCTAAATTATCATAAGATTCTTTTTAGCTGATAAACAAACGTGCTCAAAATTTGTTGGCCAAGAAAGTGGATAATCTTTGCTTGGAGCACTTTAACTTTGACACGTTCGCCTTTCATCTCACCAAGATCTCAGCGCCAACAATTTGGGTGTCAGTTGAAAAGACTGTGGCTCTACTCCGTCTACTGTATCCTCAAAACGTTTTCTACCAAACGTCGGCCGATGGATCCGTCTCATTGACCAACGAGCTGATCCAACTCTTGAAGGGTAGTGTAATATCGTTGGTACTCAAGAACGCCTATGTATCTACGATGTGGGAGAGTACGGTGAACTCGCTGATGTTTTTGAGGGAATTCAGTGATACTGTGAAGGAATTACGATGTGATCCACGTTTCTTGGGCTTTGAAATGGTGCCTAAAATGAAGTTACAAGAGTATCGACCTCAAGTTAGTGATGCTGATTTGATGGAAATGGACCAACGAGTGCCGGAGGGTAGTCGAGCTGGATTTGAAACTGGTAAGGATGGGTTGGAAATTGCTGAGAGGAAGAGGGTATTGCTTTATTTAGGTCTAAAAGTTTTTTTTTCATACCTAAACATATAAATTTATATTCTCATAGGTGAACATATAAACTTATATGTTCATAACTAAAAATATAAACTTATATGCTCATACCTAAACATACAAACTTAGATGCTTATACTTGAACCCACAAACTTATATTCTCATACCTAACCTCACAAAATTTTTAGAAATTCTCCGCTGTACCCTCCGCCACAACATTGATACCCTCGATTTGGATGCGGATTCGAAGCCCTTCTTCTCCGTCGATCCCCGAAACCCACCAATCGCCCCGAACCACGACCTCAAAACTCTCAAATTCCACTGTTCCAGTGCCCAAACCCTCCGGGCTTTCGACTTTTTCCGTCGTTTCAAATGTGTCGCACCCAACCTGGAAACATTGGACGTTGAGTTCGGGACGAAACGCGAATTCTCTACCGAAATCAGTGCCAAAACTTACACGTTCTGGCTTCAAATCATGAATTTTGTGAAAGAGGCCCAAATGCAACACTTCCGAATCCGGGCATCGCTTTGTTTCGTCAACGACGATGAGGTCGAGTTGGATTGGATGCGGAAGGTGAACAAGATGCTGGATGGACGTGTGAAGGTGTGTCGTGAGGGGCTGTATTATTGTGACGAGTTCGCTGAGGTCGAGCTACGGGTGGCTGAAAGCGAGAACAGCAAGATGATGCCCGTGGAGCACGAGATTCAAAGCGAAAAGGATGGGTTTGTCTACTAAAATGGGGTTTTTGGAGCTTGTTTTAGGTCTTTTTATATTGTGATAGGTTAGAAATATAGGTAACATATATTGTTTAAATTTTTAAAATTTAGTATTAGACGGGTCTTTTTTTATATTTAAAAGTGGTACAGAACTAAATTGTACCAAAATACCACTTTTTTGGTACAAAAATTTATATGACACACTACTACTTTTAGTACTAATAACAGTACTATATTTAGTACTAATAGTGGTACTATTTTTAGTACTAGTAGTAGTAATATTCTTAGTACTGATGGTAGTACTAAACACAGTACTCTTTTAGTACTAAGCAAAGTACTGTTTTTAATACCAAGCCTTTTGTATATAATATATTGTCTTTGTTTATGTATATATTGTAATTTAATTTGTTTTTTTACTGTGATATAATCAATATCCTTACTATATGTTATGATAATATGATAAGCCTCGTACTACTACTATCAGTAATACGATATATATTCTACTACTACTAGTAATACGAACAATCTCTTTATAAAACTACTATTATAGGTTGTTCAAATAATTCTGTGCTCCTTAACTTTGAAAATTAAAGTTAGGCACAGAATTATTTGAACAATCTAATATGAATCATATGGTCATCCTCCTACTACTACTGTAATTGTATGATCAACCCCTTATTACTACTGTAAAGTCTATGGTCAACCCCTTACTACTACCATAAACTCTATGACCAATATATTGTGATACTACAATCAGTATTGTAAGCCTAAAATATTGTAGTAGCCAAATGTCTGTATAAACCTCTATTTCCTGTATATACGACAATATTTGTTAAGTTATGGTGCAATATCTTAATTATTACCTTGTTTTTTGAATTATTACATTGTTTTTGAATGTGAAAGTAAATGGCTAATACCTAAAATTGTTTTGGAACCATTTCTAGCCATTTTTTGTAAATTTTGATAGTAAAAATGACCAAAAACGTGGTAACAGCCCGAGGCATTCATCGTTTTGTTTATCGATAAGAATAAAAGTCTAATAGTTTAATATTGTTGACTCGCAAAGCTGTTTAAAAAACTTTTTAAATTTAAAAATGATTTTTATTTGAAATTCGGGGGGGGTACTGTTAAAAGGCATAAAAATGTATTGTAGTTGGCTTGGCAAGGTATATTTAGAAGTCCAGACTAAGACACTTGAAAACCCAGGGTAGATTACATAGGGTAGGGTAAACTTGGTAGAGTAAGGTCGGTTTTTCAAAAATAGGGCACATTTGGTAACGCTAGGGTAGGGTAGGTTAACATAGAGCGGGGGTAGGGAAACATATTATAAGTAAGTGGAGGGTAGGTCAGGATAGGTTAACATAGTGTAGAGTAGTGGGGATACAGACAGGGAAGGGTAGGCTAGGGCGGATTAACATAATGAGGGCAGGGTAAACTAGGGTGGGGTAAATTTGATAGAGTATGGTAAATTTTAAAAGACAGGGCACACTTGATAGGGATAAAGCATGGAAACATAAGGCTGGGTAGGGTAGATTGATATACAACGAGAAAGAGTACGGTAGTTAACATAGGGTAAGGTAGAGTAAATAGGGTAGAAGAGGGCAGGGTAGGGTAGGGTAGGTTAGGGTAAGGTAAGGTAAGATATAGTGTGGGGTGGCTATGAGTAGACTAGGATATGTAAACCACTATGTATACCTACAGTACACCCTCCAACTCATCATAACCCGCATTTGGCACCCATTTCCACGTTATAAAAAGTACAGTAACCGGAAATTGCAACAACATTACAACGTCTCCCCACAAATAGTGTCTTAACGTCCGTCTTATCACTTATCACACCAAACAAACAGTATATTTCGTTGATACGATGGTGATCAGTGTCAATGAACGCCCAATGTTATGGTTGAAAGTAACGCTGGCTTCACATGTTGCTCTTTAAAGAGCACTTTATCAGCTAAAAAAGGTGATTACAACCATGGTTAACCACGCTTCGCACTGATTGCACAAAGTCGAAAGTCGACCTTGTTTACCCGCTCATCGAGACCGTTCACGTTGATTGCTGTGCCTTTAAGTGACAGTAGTCATAAGGCTACAAGCAGACTGGAAACCGTATCATTTGTAATAGACTGCTCAAATAATTATGTGCCCTTAAACCTTGACAATTTGCTTTAAAAAAGGGCCCAAAATTATTTGAACAACGTATTACAAAAGATATGTACGTGCTTCAATCACATACTGTAGTCAGATCTGTAAAGGGCCGTAGGTAGAGATGGCTATCGGCCTGGTCCGGCCTTAAAACGAGGACCAACCTAAGTTATTTGACCAGACCGGCGGATTTTCAAAACACACTTGAACAGACCGCCTAGGACTCAGACTAAGACTAGCTCTAGGGCTAAGGCCAAGGCTAGGTCCGGAGCTAAGCTTAATACCAAAGCTAAAGTTAAGGACAGAGATAAGGCTCTGGGCTAAGGCGCTGGACTAGTGATCTGGGCTAGGAATAGGGCTCTGGACTAGAGACTTGGGCTAGAAGTGTGGGCTAAAGATAGGGCTTTGGGGTAGGGGTCTGGGCTAGGGCTCTTGGCTAGGGCTCTGGGCTAGGGCTAAGGTTAGGGCCAGTGCTAGGCCTAATACTTAAAAAAAGCTAAGACTAGAGACAAAGCTCTGGGCTAGGGCTCTGGGCTAGGGCTTTGGGCTAGTACTAAGGCTAAGGCTAGAAATCAGGCTTTGGGTTAGGATTCTGTCATAGGATTCTGGGGTGGGTTGAGGCTAGGGAAGGAAGTATAATTTAGCCTAGGAGTGGGGTTGAGCCTAAGACTGAGGCTAGAACTGAAGCTAAGGCTCGGGCTGAAGCTAGAGCTGAGGCTAAGATTGAGGTTAAAACTAGGAATAAGACTAAGGCTAGGCCTGAATTAATAGTTTTTAAAAAATAAATCCGATTCCATACAGACTACGCTTTATTCGGCCTTGTAGCCCATTAAGAAATTAGTTAGTCAATTTCCACAGTACTTATTGTGGAGCAGCAGCGGGTGCTGGGCTTTGATTGCGGCCTCGTCTTCCAGCTCGCGGCTGTCCTCCAGTTTGTTGCTGTCTAGCACCGGCGCGGCGTGCTGGCTGTCCTCCGGCTTGCGGCTGAGCTCCGGCTTGCGGCTGAGCTCGGGCTGGTGGTTGTCCGGCAGGAGGGGCCTCTGGCTCTTCCTCTTCTTGCTCTTCTTCATCAGGATTCGCAGCACCAGCATTAGCAGCACCAGCATTACCAGCATTAGCAACACCAGCATTAGCAGGAGCGGCATTACCAGCACCAGCATTTGCACCACCAGCATTACCAGCACCAGCATTTGCACCACCAGCATTACCAGCACCAGCATTTGCACCAGCAGCATTACCCGCACCAGCATTTGCACCACCATTAGGAGCCTCCTGGACAGTGTTTGTTGTGCTCTTTGGACCACCCTTCTTTTTGTTTTTGCACACAAAGAATACTACCAATCCAACAATTAAGCTCACCAACAACACGACACCAATGACAATGCTAAAACACGTAAATTAAGGTTAATATTATACAACAGAAACAATTCACTTTACAAGACAAAAACATATGACATTATTTTTGTCGTCAGTATCCGACAAAAGTGACATCTTTTCAAACATTCTAGACTAAAGTAGTAGGACACTTTCCATTCATTTTCAATTAAAAAGTGTCCCAATACTTATAATACAAAAACAAAACTTACATTAGCCAAAAATCTGGTCCCGACGACTCAGTGGCTTCAGCTTCAGTAGTAGTTTCGGTTACCCTAAAATCATTGACAAGTTCATATAAAATCCAACTTTTAAATTCAAAAATGCTTAAGGCTTTGCGTAACTTTTAACTACAGACCCCAAGAAGGAAAAATCAAATGTTTCACAAATTATAAACTCACGTTGTCTCTTCGGTCGCAACAGAAGGTGCGACAGTGGGTTCTTCGGTGGTTGTGGGAGTGGTGGTGGGAACAGTCGTTGTCGTGGGTTCCGGCCTAAAAATATTCACTATTAGGTTGAGGACCAGACTAAGGCTGGTTAGGGCTCTGGGTTGAGGCTCTGAGCTAGGGCTCTACGCTAAGGCTTTGGGCTAAGGCTTTGGGCTAGAGCTCTGGGTTAGGGCTTTGGACTAAAGTACCAGAAAAGTTTTGTCCAACTCTTTCAATGGCATAAACTGATAACAAACCACTTACTCATAATACATTATGGCAAAGTTGTTCGGACTGGATTGCTCCCCATTCAACTTGGCACCGCTTTCTTTCAATGCAGGCTAAAATCAAATTTTAAAACTTCAAAACATAACAACAAAAGTCTACAGTAGTCCTAACAACGATGACTTATTTACAAGGAAATTGCATCAAACATATCTTGGCCTTTAAAACAAGACATATATATAATTTTAAAAAATGTAAAAAGTTACCAGAAAAAGCATGTTCAAACTATTAAATGATTTTGGCTAGCGAGATATTCGCGGTCAAGGAATTTAAATAGAAAACCCCTTTAGCCCTACTCTTTTGTCCTGAGCAAAACAAATGAACTGAGAAATCAATTCAGCGTTGCCAAGACGTTGAGCTTGGCCTGACGCGCAGAAGACAAAAATTTCAAATCCAGCCGACTTTATTTTGGCATTTTGCCTTGAGAAGACGGCTAGCCAAACAATATTTTAATTAAAAAAAATTAGTCATAATTTTTGCTTTTAGAACCTTTAAAAAATATTTTCAAATTTTTTCAAATTTTGAAACAAGAATATTGAGCGCACTGTAACTCGCTAGCCCAGGCCAGTTAATAGTTTTTGAAAACAGTTTTCCCGGTAACCTCTCACGCTTTTTCATCAAGGATATAAAAATTAACCTACCAACGACAGAAGCAGTTTGTCTGGATCGGAGCAGCTTGACTCAACCAAGTTGAATTTGTTGCCATTCTGTTCGAACTTCTTGCATTTTCCACCAGGAAACCAAAGATCTCCGTTTTCGATACTTCCAACTCCTTTTTCTTCGTAAAGGTTCAAGTTTTTATCAAAATACGTCCGAGCTCTTTGATTGAGATAGAACATGAGGTCACGGGTCGCTACTTGAAACACAACTATATCTCCAACCATCCAAAACTTTGTATTTCCCATATGAACGTCAGAAAATGCATTAGCTTCATCGAAGTTTACCAACAAATGCCTAAAAAACGTAAATTTAACAAAAAATAAAAGTTAGCCCTAGCCTTATGTAACAACTTACCCGTTATAGGGTTAAGAGTACTTTTAAACATAGAGAGTAAGCATAGAGAGTACTGTAACTCGCTAGCCTAAGCTATTAGCAGTTTTCAAAAATTACTTTTTGGTTACTTTTTACGCTTTTTCATCCCATATAAGCCACTTAACAAGAGCCGACGGATATTTTCAACAATAATTGTGCAGTAAATAATAAAAACTCACTCAGAGTCTGTCTTGCCATAGACATACAGATTGTCGATGTTCTTCAAAGAGAAGACGTAGTTCAGGGCAGTGAAACCATCTTTGGAGAGCTTGAACTTGCTAAAAAAACAAAAAAATGCGTTTAGTTTGTCGATTCCCTGTAAGCGTCAAGTTTACAGAAAACATTTTGATTTATTCCGCTACTTTTTCATTAGTCTAAAACATCTCGTTAGGCTTTGGCTATTCTGATGATTCGAGATACATGTCTTTAGAGGTGAGAAAAGAGCTAGAAGGGGGGAGGGACGGGGGAGGTACCTCCCCCCCCTCCCCCCCCAAAAAAAAATTTTTTGAAAAAAATTGAACGTGGTCCTCCCTGTGGATTTTCGGAAAAAAAATTTTCGCAAAAAATCGGCACAGGTAGCTGCTACCTGTGCCGATTTTTTGGACCCCCGTCCCCAGACCAAAAGTCCCCGCCCGGCCCTGGCAGCAAGGTAAACCAGAAGTGTCTTAAACCTAACGTTTACAGTTCACCACAATCTACATACGAAAACGGCTTACCGATCGTCCTCTTTCTTCGTGTCATGCGGGCACACAGAAGTCGACTGACGAGTGATGGTTGAGCCATCTTGCTCGAAATTGAGGAACTTGGCACAGATGACCTGACCAGGTCGGTGCTTCAGCACTTGCGAGGCGACGATCAGCTGGAGTAGGCTGAAGTCGAAGAGCATTTTGGAGAGTGGCGACCGTCCAGCAGACAACGAGGAGCGAGAGTGACCAGGAATGTCAGTGGGACATGATTTCAGTTTTTAATTTCGTAATATGCAAATTTTTGAGAAAAATCAAAAAATTTCAATTTTTCTTTTAAATTTCGAAATTTTAAAATTGTTTTTCGACATTTTATGCAAATTAATGAAGTTCAAAAACAATTTTAAATCCGGATCAAGAATAAGAGAAAGCTACAGTCAGACTGGAACGACGTTGCAACTTTCCTCATCGATCGGAGGCCACTACTCAGCTCTACCTACTTCAACATGACTGGCTATAGAGACTATAGGCAGGTTGGCTACGGTAAATACAATACAAAAGGCATAGAGGCTACGGTGGATACTGTAGAATAAACTATAAAAACTTCGTTGGATACGGTCGAGAAGGCAATAGAGGCTTTGGTGGATACAGTAGAGAAGGCTATAGAAACTACAGTGGATACGGTATAAAGGCTATGGAAGCAATAGTAAATACGGTATAAAAGGCTATGAAAGTTACGGTAGAAGCGACTGGAGCTACGGATGTTGCGAAGGCTACGGTGTAAATGTGTTCTAAACTAGGGTTCTGGTCTAGGGCTCTGGGCTAGGGCTCTGGGCTAGGGCTCTAGGCTAGGGCTCTGGGCTAGGGCTCTGGGCTAGGGCTCTGGGCTAGGGCTCTGGGCTAGGGCTCTGGGCTAGGGCTCTGGGCTAGGGCTCTGGGCTAGGGCTCTGGGCTAGGGCTCTGGGCTAGGGCTCTGGGCTAGGGCTCTGGGCTAGGGCTCTGGGCTAGGGCTCTGGGCTAGGGCTCTGGGCTAGGGGCTCTGGGCTAGGGCTCTGGGCTAGGGCTCTGGGCTAGGGCTCTGGGCTAGGGCTCTGGGCTAGGGCTCTGGGCTAGGGCTCTGGGCTAGGGCTCTGGGCTAGGGCTCTGGGCTAGGGCTCTGGGCTAGGGCTCTGGGCTAGGGCTCTGGGCTAGGGCTCTGGGCTAGGGCTCTGGGCTAGGGCTCTGGGCTAGGGCTCTGGGCTAGGGCTCTGGGCTAGGGCTCTGGGCTAGGGCTCTGGGCTAGGGCTCTGGGCTAGGGCTCTGGGCTAGGGCTCTGGGCTAGGGCTAGGGCTAGGGCTAGGGCTAGGGCTAGGGCTCTGGGCTAGGGCTAGGGCTAGGGCTCTGGGCTAGGGCTAGGGCTCTGGGCTAGGATTCTGGGCTAAGGCACTGGGCTACGAGTATGACTAATGCTAAGGCTAATAAACAAAGACCACAATATAAACTACCAAAGCTTTATTCAAATACAACATAATAGCCATAGTCTACTCCTTGTTTCCAGTCACCAGATCCTCTCCAACATAGCCGAACTGAATAAACTTGGACTGGAACGAGTCGACGAACGCCATGGTGACCGGGTCTTTGCGGAACGTCTGAATCACGATGGTACGACGGTTCTGAGAGTCCTTCTTGTACTCCTTGGCCATGTCCTCGAAGGAGATGTTCATGTAGTTGCAGATCAAAGCGACCACTTGGATTGGGATTTCAGCGTAACTCAAGGATTCCATCGCCCCAGGCAGAATGTTGCTCATCTTGGCCATTTCATTCACAATCTATAAAAAGAAATGGCATTATGACATAATAACTCGTTAAGGCGGGGTAAGAAGTCAATGTTTGGAGTGGGTGAGGGTGGGTGCTGTAAAAAATGGATGGGCGGGGTAAAAAATACGTGGGTGGGGTAAAAAAAAATTTTTTTTTAATTTTAAAAATTTAAAAATGGCATAAAAATCATTAAAAAAGCCTAAAATAACGAAAAAAAAGTACTTGCCGTTCTCCTGACAAACAAATACACTCCAATCGCCAAACTCAACGCCAAAACAGCGACGAATCCATTGAAGGCGGCGATAATATAAGCCCATGAAACTGGCGACAAATCCATCTTGAACCGACTGGAAATCGACCGTTTTAAGACCAAGAACCTTTTTCAAGTAAAACGAAATTTGAAAATGAAAATTTTTTTAAAGTTTGAAAAATTTCGAATTTGAAAATTTTTACTTTTTATGCAAATTTTTTAAAATAAAATTATTTTTTTCTTTGCTACCCTACCCTACCCTACCCTACCCTACCCTACCCTACCCTACCCTACCCTACCCTACCCTACCCTACCCTACCCTACCCTACCCTGCCCTGCCCTACCCTACCCTACCCTACCCTACCCTACCCTACCCTACCCTACCCTACCCTACCCTACCCTACCCTACCCTACCTTACCCTACCTTACCCTACCCTACGCTATTTTATCCTACCCTACCATACCTTTGCCTTTGCCTTGCTTTGCTGTACCCTGCCTTTTCCTTTCTCTGCCCTTTTTTTCTTTGCCTTACCCTACAGTAGATTTAAAAGCCCTACTCTACCATAAATCCGTTTTACTTTATTTTATAAAATCCAACCTGTCCTGACTCATAAAAATATATGGTAAAATACGAGTCGACGAACTTGACCCACTCTATCAAGTCTACCTTACCCTATGACAAACTTTATCTTACCTACACAGAAAAAAATCTTTTTTTGAATTGTAAAGTTCACAAAAAAATGGTTAAAGGATTTGAAATTTTATGAAAATTTTTTTCAAAATTTGAAATTAAAAATTTTCCCGAAATTTCTAATTTTATATTTTTTTTACTCGTAGACGGTCGTGCGCGTCTCAAAATTGCCGTTCGGTGTGTACAAATGCCTAAAGATAGTTCTTCCAGGTAATTTTGAACTGCTTTAACATATCTTAAAATTTTTTTTAAAAATGGCAAAAACTTTCTTTACAAATTTAAATTTTTTTGAAAATTTTGGATTTTGAAAAGTTCGAAATTTAAAAAAGTCAGTTTTATAAAATTTTGAGACATTTTTACCATATATTTTTGCATTATGACATTCTTGATTGACTTCAGGAAGAAAAAGCGACCTCGTCAAGGATCAGCACGTCCTACGAAAGACAGTCAAAGAAGAACTGGTGAGTTCCCAATTTTAGAAAAAAGTTTTAAATCTGCAAAAAAAGATTAAAAAATGTTATATTTACCCTAATTTTTGCGAAAAAGTAGTCTAAAACACTAAAAATGTCATTACCAACACAGATCTTCACTATATGGTGCGATTTAACCACCCTTGACAATCGTGCCTCATTGGCTCAGGGGCAGAGCGTCTGTCTAGTAAACAGAAGGTCGCTGGTTCGATTCCAGCATGAGGCAGCTTTTTTTTTCAATAGTTTTTTTGTTTTATTTAATGTAAAAAGTATAATGGACTGTATAATTCGTATTTTACTTTTATTTTTATTATAAAATTTTAAAAACATAAAGGTATTTTTATCAAAAACAGCGAAAAATTAAGAAAAATCGAGACTTTTTTCTATTTTTAGAGTTTTTTGCAGTTTTAAATAGCCTTTTTTGATTTCCAGCTCAAAACGACAAGAAACCGCCATCGTCCAAGCCCGGCTCGAGGAAAGACAAGAATTCGCCGGACAAAAGCGAAAAGAAGGTGTTGTTGCCAAAGAAGAAGAAGAGCGGCTCTAGGATCATGCGAAACTCAAAAGCCCCGGATTCTGAAGCGAATGTGAAAGGAATGCAATCGGAAAAGGAACTGGTAAGCTGGGTTTTGGCAGTTTCAACTGAAAATTTAAAAATTTTTCTTGAACTTAGGCTTAAAAATGGTACAAATTACGTTTTTATAAAAGTTTTGGCACTTTTTAAACAACGCCATTCTTTTTGTATCAGCCAAAAAACTATGCGCCATTCTTTTTGCATCAGCAAAAAACTCAAATTTTCAAACAAAATTTTTTTAATTTTCTGAAATTTAGTTAATTTAAGCCTAAAAAACATTAATATTAATCTAAAAATAAAAAATGTTGTGTCAAAAACTACTTTTTACTATGTAAAACTACCATTTCCCCCATTCAGAGAGCCCTATTTGGTCCATGTCACTCCGTGCAGCGATGTCCGAGTGGTTAAGGAGATGGACTTGAAATCCATTGGGCTTTGCCCGCGCAGGTTCGAACCCTGCTCGCTGCGACTGCCTTTTTGGCCTTCCTTATGTTAATTTTGATTAATTTTTAATTAAATTTTAGTAAACTGTTAAAAGATATTACTTTATTTTTAGTTTTTTATAAACATTTTGGTGTTTTACTCATTAAAAATAGCATAAAAAGCCAGTTTTTAAGTATACTATTGTAAAATTTCAGCCAGAACCAAAACCGAGGAAAGAAACTGAAGTACTAGAACCATCGGGAGCACAAAAATCTATGGCCCAACTTCCATCACTATTCCAACGACCGTCTGTTGTGGCAGCTCCCGAACAATCAGCAGTAACAGGTAAGGTCAGCATTGCTTTTCATGGTTTATGTAATTTGAAATGTCACGATTAATATAAAGTTAACTTAAATTTTTGACTTAAATAATTGTCATGTGTTGAAGAAAAAATTTAAGTTTATACTAGAACGATAAAAAGTTTGATTTGAAAGAAAAAATTTCATTTTTCAGAAAAAGTGCACCAATACCTACAAGAGAAGAGTAATATGGAAGCAGACAATGAAGATGTCCCAGACCCACAGAATCAACTAGTCGATGTCAAAGAGGGAAAGTGTATTGAGCTAAGGAATGAGAGAACACAAGCTTTGAAAGGGTAAAACTTTTTGATTTGGGGCTGATAAGCGGTTTTAAGAATTTGCACGGTGCAGTCGCTTTATAGTCAATCCGAGGACTTTTCAAAAGGGTTGAAATTTGAAAAAATTGAAAAATAGTGTCGACAAGACTAGTAAAAGCCTAAAATTTAATTTTTTTAAAATCAGTCCGAAAACTTTTAAATTTACGTAATTTTTTTGGTCTGCACGGTGCAATAGCTTTAAAGTGTGTTCGAGGACTTTTGAAAAGGTTTAAAATTTGAAAAAGTGAGAAAATAGCCTTCGTAGGCCTAGGAGAAGCTAAAACTTAATTTTTTTAAAAGTAATCCGAGAATTTTTGAAATTACGTAATCTTTTTTGGTTTGCACGGTGCAATAGCTTTAAAGTGTGTCCGAGAACTTTTGAAACCGGTTCATTTTTGAAAACGTTGAAAATAGCGTTGGTAGGTCTAGGAGAAGCATAAATTTCAATTTTTTAAAATTTGTCCGAGAACTTTTGAAGTTACGTAATCTTTTTTGGTCTGCACGGTGCAATAACTTGAAAGCCTGTACCAGGACTTTTGAAAAATTTTAAAATAGCGTTGATAGGCCTTCAAGAATTCAAAATTCAATTTTTTTAAATTTGTTTGAAAAATTTTGAAATTACGTAATTTTTTTTGGTTTGCACGGTGCAGTCTCTAAAACCAAATGAGTTGCACCGTGCAAACTGTCAGAAATCCTTTATAAATTGAAGGAATACATTTTTGTGTACTACAGTAACTTTGACCATTACTTTTAGAGCCCATTTAATAAAAGGTGACATGAGGGGCGAGTACGGCCGAGTAAATGTGGAGATACTGAATGAAGAAGGCGAACCAGATGGACAAGGGCATTATCAGTTGTTGTATGAACATGATAACGCTGCGTTTAAACGATTAAGGGTAGGTTTGGGTAGTTTTTGTTTGTAAAGAAAGTTTTTGCCATTTTTAGTTTTGTAAAGAAAGTTTGTGCCATATTTTGTTATGTAAAGAAAGTTATTGCTGTTTTTTGTTTTGCAAGTAAAGTTATTGCCATTTTAAACAAAAGCCAACACAATTAGAGTTCTGCAGCCTGCGGTGGACATGTTATACGAAGAGTTGTTTTAAGCCATTTTTTCGTCTGTAAAGAAAGTTCTTGCTATATATTGTTTCGTAAAGAAAGTTCTTGCCATTTTTGTTTTGTAAAGAAAGTTCCTGCCATGCTTCGTCTTGTAAACAAAGTCTTTGCCGTTTCAGAACGAATGCATGGTACTAACGTTGGGCGTGGCGTCTCAACAGAACTGTTTCCAACGTCTCTTCCTTCGCGGAATCATCGAAGATACCACCTTCAACTACGTCCTACTCGAAGGTCTGGGTACCAGTCTGCCAAATGTCGTAAACACCTACTACAACGGTGTCCTATGCCAACCCGACGCCTGTCGGCTAGCCCTAATGACATTGGAGTGTGTGAAGGCGGTTCACCGTGCCTCGTGCGTTCACCGTGACGTGAAGCCGAGCGTGTTCTTCTTTGGTTCTGGTCGATTAAAGTGCAAGTTGTACATTACAAACCTAGGCCTAAGCTACGTTTATCGATCGCCGAGGACGTTGGAACCGTTGTGAGTTGAGGGAGGGGTAAACATGTAGTAGGGGGTGGTTTTTATGGTAGTAGGGAAGGGTAATATTTGGCAAAAGGACGATTAAAAATGGCATTTCGGGGTCATTTTGAGTACCATGTTTGGGTCATTCTGGGTATGGAGGGTAGGGGGGAAAAATTTTAATTTTTTTTATTTACAGTAAGCCCAGAGAAACAGTACCCTTCATGGGGAGCCTAAAATACGCACCACGCCGAAGTCACCAACGAAAAGAACGCTACCCCATCGACGACATTGAGAGCTGGTACTACATGATATCCGAATTCTACGAACCCACAATATTACCATGGTCATCAACAACGAAATCAGGCATTCTCGACCAGAAAACCGACTTTCTACTAACGGAGAACGTGAAACAACTGGTCGAAAGAGAGAAACTACCCAAGTTCTTTGTCAAGCTAAGGGAAACTGTGGAGTTGGACCCCAAAAACCCGTACGATCAAGTGTCATACAAGGCGATAAGGGACGTGCTTCATGAGGAATTGAAGTCGGAGAAAGTTGTAAGGGTTTTTGATCTAAACCAATATAAAGAAGGCAGTTTATGGCCAGAAAAAGACTAAATAACCTTGAAAAACAGATGGATAACATGAAATTTGATTTGAAATTCTCCTTGTAGGGTCTCCTAACATTCATGAACGAAGAAGGCGAGTACAACAACAAGGCCCAAGCCTCCAGCAACAACACATCAAACCGCCAAAAGAATTCGTCAACTAAAGAGAAGAAAGAAGCCCCAACAGCGGCCAGTCCAGAGCATGACGACGATATGGACAAACCTCCAATGCAAGCATGGGGAAACAAGAGATGACATTCTTCACATTTTTATGACATTACATTGCTGTATCGTATGGTATTGGCTGTATTCGTAGTAAACTAATCAAGTGGTTTGTATTTTTGATTTTTAGACTATATTGAAGGTTCATATCCCTGTTTGATGGGGCTGGTCATCTTATTATTGACCTTGTTGTATGTCATATAGAAAAAATTTTAAACTTTTTTCATTTTAAATTGACAATCACCTTTTTATGTCAAAGAAACTCTCCAATAACTAGCTTTAAATATTTTTATGCAACAGCAAACAAAAAATTAACAAACCGAGGGAAGGCCCTGTGGTTATTAAAACTTAAAAATGACAAAGGTGACGAGTTTACTTGAAGATCTTGCCCTGGTTGAACTTCTTGCCGTCAAAGTCGCCTTCCCAGGCCAAGTACTCGTTGACGGTCTTCTTGGTCTTCTCGTCGCTGGCGTCCAACTTCTTCCAGGCGTAGGATTCGTAGTCTACCTGCCAGTCGGGTGACAGTTCGAACGCGAGCTCATGACCACGCCAGATCCAGATTCCGGAGATGGTGGAGTTGTTGTCGGTTCCGAACAGACAAACCGAGGCGAATCCGTATTTGCGGAGCTTCTCCAAACGCTGGAACATGCCACCGATGAGGTTGCAGCTCATGAAGGTCAGGGTCAGGTCCTCGGGGTACTTGTACTCGCCGTACCAGATGGAGTAGTTCTCGGCGTCAAAGTTCTCCCAGAACCATGGGATGGACTTGTCGGGTTCTTCGTTAGAGTAGACACGCTTGAAGTTGTCCATGTTGAAGGTGCCGGCTGGGAACTTGAGGAATGGGTCTACGAACTTTTCGGCAGCGGCGGCTGGTTCTTCTTCTGGCTCAGCAGCGGCTGGCTTTGGCTTGTCTTCCTTCTTCTTTTCTTGCTTCTTGTTGTCCTTCTTCTCTGAAACAAAGTTTATAGACATATAAAGGCATTATAACAAGTCACGCATATAAAGTGATTTTATTTTAGCCTAAAAATAAACAAAAACTCCTAATTTAGTCTAGCACTATATTAAAAACCAAAAAAGGCGATAAAAAATTATCTTGAGCACCCTTACCTTCCTTCTTGTGAGCTGGCTTGTGCTTGTTGAACTGATCTTGGTTGAACTGAGCAACTTCGTTGGCCAAGGCAACCTCACCAACCACTTCCTTAACGGCCTTTTGGTGAACGACAGTCAAAAAGTAACGAGTAACGTTAACCAAAGTTTTTCTTGTCTTCTCATCCAGAACGTGTTGGTAGGCTGGGAGCAAGTTCAAAGCGACCGAAACATCAGCAGCTGACAGACGTTCGCCGACCAAGAAGGTTTTGCTGACCAAAACCTTGTCGAAAGCAGTGAGTTGAGCCAAAAGCTCCTTCTTGGCGTGCTCAACGGCATCATGGTCAAGATGAGCGACTGAGACTGATGGGAGAACGTAGGCTAACACATTTGGGAGCAGCTCAGAGTCGGCCCATTGAAGCCATTGGTTCAGGGCTGGGTCCTAGAAAAGACAGTTTTAGAGCCTCTAGTATAAGATAACTGCTCTTTAGAACTATTCCCTGCTAGTTTACAGAAAGATACCTTCAATAAAGCTGTGACAGACTTTTAACTATAATCTCCTAAAGTTTCAAAACCATTCAACCAGTTTACCCAAAGATATTTAACAAAAACTGACCTTAACCACCAAAACATCTAGTATAAGATATCAATTACTTCATTTTCTCAAATAAAAATCCCTTTAAACTTTAAAACACTTGTCAAAAAGCAAGTCATGTCTGCTAAACAAACAGAAAACCAAAACTCACTTGAGGAAGGTATTCCTTGTTGCCGGCAGCCAAATGTCCGACGATGGCATCAGATCCGAAGAGTTGGGTTTGGCCTTCCTCGAAAGCTGGTGTCAATCCAAGTGGGAATTTGTCGTGTGGCAACGAATCCTTGACTTGAACGTTCTTTCCAGCTACCTTAGCGGCAACCAACACCTTTTGGACACGGAAATTTTCAGCGTTTCCGTAGACAGTCTAAAGATATTATACTTGAAGTTAATGTCTTGAAACGGCTCATAAATACTTTTAAAATGAAAGAAAACATGTAAAGCTTGTTTTAAAAGAAGGAGTATGGTTTTGTGGTATTTTTAAAAACAAAAAGTGGCATTGACTTTACAAAGTTATTTCGTTATGTTCCATTATCTACCCTCTATACCTACATCCCAAAAATACAATTTTTTTCAATGTAAAACCCAAAAAAAAATAAATTATCCCTCAATTTTACACGAATCCCACAGTAAAAGAAAATCAACCTTCAATCCTACTTCCGATAAAACTTTCTCACATCTAAAAACCAACAAAAAACCAAAGATACTATAACTTACAGCCATTTTGAGCACTCAAATGGTCCCAACGTACGAGGAGATATGTACCTAAAAAGGAAAAGTTTACAAACTGATGATAACCGAGGCGAAATCACGCAATCTCGAGCAAAATGAAAGTATTTTTATTTTTCCGAATTACCGAGCGACCTACTTGTTTTCGCGCCGGGACCAAATTAATTCACGGACGTAAAATATTTTTCTCTGTATTTTTGGATAAAATCCTTGAAATTTCGATTTTAAAGTTGATTAGTGATGAAGGATACAGGTAGATTTGGATTATTATCGTTAGGAGCAGCACCTAGACACAGCACGTTGCAATGGGTCAGCGAAAATCGACTGGTATATTGCGGTTTAAGTGATATATGTGTAGTTTCTAATGTAAGTTTATATTTTCTTGGTCTTTCTTTGGCTTTTAGGCGTGAAAAAGACGTATGAGAGCATAAGGAAGCTTTTACAATATTTTTGATGTATTTCAACAAGCTTCGTTTAAACTAATTTTGATTTATAATACATACAGTACTTGCACGTTTTTATAATTTTTAAAAAGTCTGAGATAAAAAAACGTTGTGTGTTTATTTAAGAGTTAAAAAAGCATATTTTGTTTGATTTAAAATAGTTTTGCTTTATTTTATACTTTCCTTTCATTGTTTTACTTATATATTTGTCTACTTTATGAATGGCCTTTAATTTTGAATTCCTCTTTTTAGAAAGACGGTGAATTTGTGCCAGAATCGATACTCTCGGTTATAAGCTATCCTTCAACCTTTAGATCATTTCGATTAGTTGAAAATGAAAGAAGAACAGACGAAAACTTTGAAGTGATAGCTACTACAACTGATGGTTTCCTTGTTTTGGTCAATCTCTTTTTTGAAAATGGATTGTGGAGATACAAAGTTGTTTACCAAGGTGAGCAAAACCTTTATTATTATTTTTTTTTAAATTTAGATAAACTAGCACCAAATGAGATGGTAGACGCGTTTGGATTCAGAGACGAACATCAGTTGGTGATAGTGATTGGAACGTTTAGCTCGATAGAATTTCGGTTTTTTGACAAGGAAATGACTTTTATATCGAACAAAATGAAACCTTTACAAAGCTTTTTGATGGTACAATGTTTGTATGTTCAACCTTTGGAGAGTTACAATGAATTTATGTTGTTTTATGGACAGACCAACAAGAAGATTGGCTTGAACTTGGTGAGGAAGCCTGAAAAAGAGGGAGAGGAGTTTGAATGTAAACTTTTGGATTCTAAGGAAGCTGTGTTTTACTTGGATTGTCGGAAATGTAAGTGGTTTTGGTGTTAAAGGGCTTTAAGGTATTGTGTTAGAGGATGATGACTTGGGATGGTTAATACCTAAACTATGGTTTTTATGGGAGAATAGTGCAAATTGAGTTAATAAGAAATGTAAAGCATGCTTCTGTGCTCCTTTGTGTAAATTTTGGTTTAGTTTAGAGTTCTATTGGAAGAGATATATTAAAATATCTATAACAACATCTATTTTTAGCCAAATCAAACTCAGAAAAGCTGGAAATCTTGGCTGCAACTGAATGTCGAATACAAGTTTGGAGTGCGGAACCAGCAGCACAATTAGAATCCTCACAAACCCTAGAATTCAGCGGGTTCGACCTAGAATCAAAGGCTTTAGTTACCTTTTCAAATCAAGCTTCTTACCAAGTCCATCTAGATTCTAACATTCTTGCTAGTCAAGAGAGAATTTGTGGAGCTAATTGGAACTACGACCGTGATGTTTTCTCTATATCGACCAGGGAAAACTCGATTAAAGTGTTTGGATTGGAGAAAGGAGATGATGATGAGTTATGGTTGTTGAAGGCTTCAGTTTGTTCGTATGGAGAGCCGGCTTTGGAGCTTTGTGGGGTGTTTGATGCTCAGTTTTCTCCTATGAATAAGTGGTTTTTGGCTCACAACACTGTTGGTGGCTTCTACTTGTTCGAGGTTAATGACGAGGTGAGGAAAGGTTTAGGTAAAGGGTTGAAAATAACAAATACATGAAAAATTCAACATTTTGGTTATATATTGTGGATATTATTTATAGTATCTATATTGTAGGTATGACTATGCTATAGTAAAGTTTCTTTTCCAGTTTTCCTTTAAACAACAGCCAGTTTACATTGGTGGACATTCAGGCAAGGTTCGATCGATTTGTTGGCACCAAAACAGGGACTTTTTGTTATCAGTTGGAGCCGATAAGACTACACGTTACTTTAAAAAGTTTGAGGTTTGTGTTATAGTATTCTATAGGATCTTTTTAACATTAGAAATGGCAAAAAACAAGAATTTTATGCTTATTATACCGAAATTTTGCTTTTATTTTTGTTTTTTATGCTTAGGAGAGCTGTTTGATGCAAAAAGAATGGCGGTTTATTGAAAATGAATTTAGAGACATACGCTATTGTATAGTGAGTAATAATATTATGTTTTGCGTATTTTAGAACGGTTTTTGGGCTCAAAAAAGTCGACCACAGGTTCATGGCCATGCTTTACGATGCATCACTTCGGTTGGAGAGTAAGTCTTTGTTGTTCTTGAGGGTAAAAGGTAATGAAAAGGCAATTTTGAAGAATATTTTAGTTTTTTGAATTTGATATGTTTGAAAAAATAATTATAAGCCTAAACTTAATTTTAATTTTTTTTATTTTGTAGCCAAGGCTTCGTATCCGGCTCAGCCGAACACATGTTCCGAGTATTCGGCGCTCAAGTCCCGAAGCTCACCGTGCAAGAAGCCATTGAGCGTATCCAGCCTTTGAATCTAACTCCAAAACCTCAAACAGAACTCACATCCTCAGGCGACGCTCCAGAAACTATCGACGATTCAAAACCAACAATCGAAGAATACCTACAATCCGGAGCCACAGCCCACGAAGAGCTACGAAAACTCTACGGACATGGTAACGAATGCTATGTCACAACCTCAAACAATGAGTTCGTATTCACGTCGGCGAAAGGATCACGTCCAGACGAAGCACAGCTCATAGTTTGGTCGATTGGAGATTGGAAGGTGAGGAAGAGGGAGATCAGACACAAGTTGACTATCACTGATATGGCTGTGAGCAAAGATGGACAATATCTGGTCACGGTTTCGAGGGATCGAACGGTTAATGTCTACAGGATTGGTAAGTTTTGAAAGGTCTATATGATAGATTTTGTCAAATTGTTCAAAAAAAGAATGGGCCAAGAAATTTTGAAGGTAGAGAAATGCCGTTTTTTGGATTTTGAAGCTACAGAAACCAAGGTTTTTAGATTCTGAAGCTACAAAAATCAACGTTTTCTACAAAAATATAGTTTATTCATTTCAGATTCTTCAAACCCAGAAGTCCTAACCCATCTCCAAACCATCGAAGGCCTCCACAAACGAGTCATCTGGACCGTAGCCTTCTACACACCTACCATCTTTGCCACAGGCTCAAGAGACGGCCAGATATCCGTATTCAAGCTAGAAAACAATCAAATAACAGAAATTCAGAAGCTCAAGATCTCAGAATGCGTTAGCGCTCTAGAATTCGGAAAAGATTCAGAATCCCACGATATCGTCATGTTTTCAACGGAAAGTGGCACAGTTTATGTAGCACCAGTCAAGGAGAATGTAATACAAGAAGAAAGGATTCAGAAGTTGGATAGGGAGAGCGGATTCAGTGGTGGAAGCTTGATCTACAGGATAAAGTATAACGACAAGGAGATGATGTTCGCCTTGTGTTCGGAGACTGGATACATAAAGTTCTTGGGAGTGTAATGGTGTTGGTGGTATAGATTGTATGTGAATTGACGTTGCTGGTATAGATATATGTTTAATGACGTTATTGATAGATATTGTTATGTTGTGAGAGGTATTTGGTTGTTGATTTGAAAAAGATGATTTTTGAGCATTCAGAAGGTTGTAAACGGTCTTTTTTGGATTTTGAAGGCTGAGAAAGGGAGGGCTTTTGCCTATAAAAGTTTTTAAAAAAGATTTTTGATGTTCAAAACTTAAAAAAGGAGTTTTTTTGAATTCTGAAGCTACAGAAGTGAGCTTTTTTAGCTGTTGAAACCACACAAATGACGTTTTTTAGATTTTGAAGCTACAGAAATTAACTTTTTTACATTGTTATGCTGTTAAAAATTGCTTAGTTACCCACAAAATCTTTAAAAGTGTAATTTTCAACTTTTAAAACCTATTTTTTGTTGATTTTGATATTATAATGATGAATTTTGTAGATTTTTTAAAATCTTTTTTTAATGTTAAATATATTTTTTCGTGAAAAACTAGTGGAAATAGCAAAATTGATATCAATTGTTAAGTTTACTATAATATTATTACTGGTGATTATCTTTAAAACTTTTTTTTAAAGCCATGTTTTGTTGATTTTATTGTTGAAAATAAAGAATTTTTAATTTGAGTAGAAGGTAAATATAACACTAGCCTGTACTCTTTGATAACAATTTTAAGGTTATATCATTGATAGTAGAATTTAAAAAAAAGTTTAAACTGACCTTATCCTTGACTTTTTTTGTTCAAAAGCGTTTTACGCCAAGCTCTTCTGATATTTTTAGAAAACGAGAGCCGCGCCTCATTGGCTCAGGGGCAGAGCGTCTGTCTAGTAAACAGAAGGTCGCTGGTTCGATTCCAGCATGAGGCAGTTTCCTTTTTTGAATATTTTTTGGTATTATTTGATATATCTTTTGGTTTTATTTGGTATAAAATGAATATTGCGTAATATAATACGTACTTTACTTTTATTTCAAAGTAAAAAAAGGTCTTTTTTGATCGAAAAGAGCCAAAAATTGAAAAAAATCGTTGTTTTTCTCCATTTTCTCGTTTTTTCGTGGTTTTTGGCTGTTTTTAAATGTTTTTTGGATATTAAAACTATATTTTATCAAACGCAATGGCTTTTATTGACCTGTATTATTAATATACAAGACAGTTTATGTCTTGTTATTTATTAAATAAGCCAAAAATGTGGCGAAAAATCGTACAAAACAGCATTTTTTTTGACTCTTTTTAAAGAAATTTGCTCAAAAATGCCTTTTCAAAAAACAAAATTGATCGATAAAAATAAAAAAAAAAGATTTTTAATTTTTTTACAATATTTAAAAAAAATGTTTTTAAAACTCATTTTTAAAAATTTTATCCACTGACTGGTCGATTTTTTGGCCCAAGAAAACTAATATTATGGATTGGGGAAACTTATCAATTGATTACACTGACGATTCGAGTACTGAGTACAGCGACAGTTCTAGCACAATAACTGAATCGACCACCGTCACATCAGAGCCGGTATTGAGTGTTGAAGAGAAGGTGATCGGGTTGTATGTATCTATAGGTAAGTTTAACTTCATTTGGTACCATTATTTGTTTAAGAAACTGAAATAATAGCTAATTTAAAAAAATTTTTGAAATTTAAAATTTTTTCAATTTTGAAATTTTTCAAAATTTTGCGACATTTCAGGTGTAATAATCCTGTTCTACGTCATACTGATAGTGATTGCCGTGCTTTCGCTGATTTATCGTGTCAAGTACCTAAATGAGACCGTGCACGACATTTTTTGCGGTAAAAAGCCGCCCAAAGAAGTGATAATTGCGTCCACCAAAACTGCCCATGCCTTGGATGAAGTGGTCGCTACAACTCCTAGTTTTAGATATAAAGCAAGTTTTTGCAGCTTTGCATGATAACTGGTATTCAAAAATCAATTTTTGACCTTTAAAGACCCATTTCACAATTTTTGAAAATTTGAATTTCAAATTTCCCGCCAACTTTGGCATTGTGTTTTAATAGCTCAAAATGTGCCTTTTTTTGTTTTTTACGACTTACTAATGCCATTTTTTAAACGAATGTCAAAAATTTCGCTTGGCCAAGCCTTTTGAAATCTCATTTGGCCAAGATTTTTGATTTCAAATTCCAAATATCCCGCCAACTTTGGCAGAGCGTCCAAACACTTTCAACCACTCCATTTTTCAGACAGCACAAGCAGGACAAGCCCCAGAAGAAGAAGTAAAGGAATACACAGCCAAAGACTAACCGATTCTGAATAAACTCGTACTGATATTGTTGTAGTTTGAAAGTGGCAGCTCTTGACTTGAAATTTGGAAAAGTTGGCTTTTGAGCAAAAAGTAGTACTATTGGTATTACAACCAGGTCGTTGTACTAATTTGAATGCCAAGCACAAAGTGGAAAGCTCAAAAAGTTGAAATTTCGAAAAATTTTAAAATTTCAAAAAAACATTTTTTTTTTCAAAATTTCCAAAAATTTAAAAAAACCAAGCGATTTCAAATACAAATCCAATGAATCGTAGCAAAATTTACTGTGAATCCCAACTTATGTACAATCTCATGATAACATATCAAATATATACAACAATAAAAGTTTGAAAGCAATATTAATAACAATCATGGCTACTAGGTAACAATCTATAATAATTTTAGTACTAAAATATCTCAACAACTCGTATCTATACTATAATAAGTTAATAACAACTGTCAGTAAAGTAAAAATTCCAAAAAAGTTAAAACATTCAACCGCGTCAAAAAGAATTGATCGGTTTTCTTAACAAATGCTTAAGAAAAAAGTCAATTCTTTTTGACGCGGGTCAATATTTTTTTACTTTCTAGGTACTTTTTGCCTATTTTTAGTGTCATAAAGTATAGAAAAATTAAAAATAATTTTAATATGACACTAAAAACAGTAAAACTTAAGGATAACAAGGTATGAAAACTAAAGAATAATAAAAAAACAACAAGGATATACCATTACCATATTATCCATAAGTGAGAGCATTGGCCTGGTTCACGACGACTTGGTTGTGGGCTTTGGCCGCGTTGACCTTGGCCAAATTTTGGGCTAACAGAGCTCCAGTCAGGGCTTGGTTCTTGGCGGCGTGGCTGATAACGGCCGCTTCGGCTTGGTTCTTGGCCACTTCAGCTCCAACGATCGCTTGGTTCTTGGCCACATTGGCTTCGTTCTTAACCACGTTGTTGATCACGGCGGCTTCAGCATGGTTTTTCACAACCTCAGCACCAATCTTGGCCTGGTTCACTTCGTTCTTGGCCAAGTTGTGGGCCACAACAGCTCCGGTCAGGGCTTGATTCTTGGCCACGTTATTGATCACGGCGGCTTCGGCTTGAGTCTTGGCAATTTCAGCTTGGTTCTTGGCCAAATTGTGGATGACAGCGGCTTCAGCATGGTTCTTCACAATGTTGGCTCCAATCTTGGCCCGGTTCTTAGCAATGTTGGCATGATTGTAGGCTACGACAGCTGGAATGAGAGCTTTGTTCTTCAGGACTTCAGCTTGGTTCTTGGCCACGTTGTTGATCACAGCGGCTTCAGCTTGATTCTTGGTGACTTCAGCTCCAACGATAGCTTGGTTCTTGGCAATCTCTGCTTCACTCTTGGCCACGTTGTTGATCAAACCAGCTTGAACTTGATCTTTCGCGACTTCAGCTCCAACGATAGCTTGATTCTTAGCCACGTTATTGATCACTGCAGCTTCAGCTTGGTTTTTAGCGACCTCGGCTCCAATCACAGCTTGGTTCTTCGCCACTTCACCTCCAATCAAAGCCTGATTCTTTGCCACTTCACCTCCAATCAAAGCCTGATTCTTGGCCTGGTTAGCCAAAACGACCGCTTGACCATGATGAATCGCTGCCACGCCTTGTCCATGATGAATCCCATTCAAAACCTGAGCATGAAGAGCGTTCTTGGCTTCTGCTTGATGAATCGCATTTTCGGCCGCAATTTGCCCGAGGGAACGTTTGGCACGCAATTCGGAGGTTACGGCCACTATCGTGATGCAGAAGGCGAGAACGGTGAAGCGAGGCATCTGATATGGATTCTGAAGCTGGGCTACGGATGTTGAACACCAAGTCGACCGTGAAATGCTCTAAAATCAAAAAAATTAATAGGAAAAACAATATTTTAGGTAACAATCAACGGACACGGCCTAACACAATATAAACGGGCGAAAAGTGCTCTAAATTAATATAAATAGGTAAAAAAATGGCTAAATTAGTAAAAGTGTGCTAGTAACATTCAAAAGCTTTAAAAACGTAACTAATAATCAAAGTTTAACAAAAAATGACCAAAACTACGTAAAACAATATAAACATCGAAAAATACAACTTAAATCAATACAAACTGCCGATCAATACAAACTGCCACAATTTTCTTTAAAACCATAAAACAGAGAAAAAGAATAAAATATAAACCTAAAAATCAAAAGCAGAACGATGTTAACAACCAAAAACGTTAAACAACATGAAAATCCCTCAAAATCCACCTTCTTCATCGCTTCAAAAACTTATAACTGAAGACATTTGGACAAAGTCAACTTGATTTCAACAATAACAGCATGTTTTTGCTGTTTTTGATGAAAAATAGCCAACATGTTCTTCCATTTTGGCCGAAAAACAAACAAATTTTGAAACAAATCGACAAATAACAAGTAAACACCTAGAAAATGGGTCATGCTGTCTAGAAAATGCGTCATTTTGTCTAAGTAATAAATCAAGGAAACCTAAAAAATAGCTAACAAAAGTAAAATACACGTTATAAACAAGCTTCGAAAAAAATCTAAAGCAAAGGCCATCAGAAGAATGCTAACTATACCTTAATGAAGAAGAAAACCCCATACAATTTCGTTGGCGTTCTGTGTCGACCAAATTTTCAAAAAAATTATTTCTGCAAGTGTGGAGCCAAGGAACGGTCAGGGGAACAGAGAGGATAGTTCAAATGAGAGGTTTAAGAAGTTCCAAACGACCTGGAATTGATTCAATTCCAACACAGGTAATTAAACCCTTTTATTGTTTTCACTTTTTTTATTTCTTTCCTACTATATAGAAATTACGTCTTCACGTTAGTTTATACACGTACGTTTTAGGTAGCCTTAGGTTCTAAAAGAATTAAGAACGATTTTTTAAGCATCTTCTGTCAAGGCGAATTCACATTTAATTAAAACTAACAGACGTACTATTTTAGAGCATCCCCATCAAAACAGTTGCAAACCCCATAAAGTTCCGGCCGTTAGAATACAAAACATTGGAAATTGACGTTGAAAAGAATGTGCCACACAAGGTCGTCATAGAACTTTCAACCGAACATTTCGTCTGTTATGCCGCTTCAGGACAACGTTCTTCACAAAAAATACAAACTGAAGGCCACGCTGGAGTTACATGATTTCTCAAATACTCAATGTTTAGTCCTTTTTCGAATGGTAAGCACGCTTACTATATCTTACTGGATTTACGATGGACAAAAAGTGCAGAGGCAAGGACAATACGTCGTGCCGGTTGTCTTCGTACAAAAAAATATGAAGCAAGAAGGCGGCGTCGTAGTTGGAAAATGTCACGGTAAGCAAAACAAAAATCGTAACATTTTAAAGCATTTAAAAAACGTTCTGATGTTTATATTTTTTTTATTAGGAGTCTACCTAGATGCCGTATCTTTACATGGCCTTTATTTTGAATTAAGTGTTCTTTACAGGTTTTATATTACACTAAAAAACGGTTTTTCAGACATCATCAACACCCCTGTGATCCAGAAGAAGGTACAAAAGTGGTGTCTATTGTCGATACGAAGAAACAACAAGCTGCCGCAGTTGGACCATGCACAAAAGTTAATATGAATTGTGAATAAATTGTTATATGTATCCGAATTGTGAATAAATTGTTATATGTATCCGGAATGTGAATAAACTGTTATATTTATTACTTTATTGAAAATCAATATTCTAATCTTTATTTTTAAAAAATAAGACTGTACCAATTCACAAATGATAACGTAAACAAGATTAGCCTAGTTAAACCAGCCATATGCAAATATGTTTGTGCTTATGATAGCAATATAAAAAACTGTCAATTTCATAGCGATTCATTACAACTTTAGCTTTTTGTGGTCGAATATTTAGTAACTAGTAGATTATATTATAGTAGGTTATTATTCCGTATAATCGTTACAGTATTTTGCAGTATATCGTGTTTATAAATTTTACTTTTTTATAACAAGACCACAGTAGAACACTGTATATTATTACGGCCTTAATTACTATTTTACAAAAGATCGATTACTAAAGTACAGTATTTTATAAGATAATGTTCTAGTATAACCAAGATGTACAATTATTATATTAGTGTATTGGTCACTGTATTGTGCTTTACTTCAACCAATGGCGACTTTTTTGTAAGTTGAAGTAAAAGTTATATATAACTACTATATAACATCATAAAAACTTTGTCATCAGTCAATTTTAGCTCTAATCGACATACGATTTAGTTTTAACAACCCATTGTACCTAAAAAACGGTTGATTTTACGAGGATGTTTGGGTTAAAAAGTCGATATTAGGGTATATGGCTTAAAATCGATTTATGACATTTAAGAGAGCACAGTAGCCATATAATGCCATTTCTAATGTCATATAACGATATTTTAGGGTGACATTGTAGACACTGGTAGTGAAGTCATAGGTGACATTGGAGATACCGGCAAAGACGTTTTCAATGCAGTAGCTTGTGCTCCTTGCATTGGACTGGTCGAGTTGTTCTTCTGGTTGCTTGAGAACTCGGATACTTTTTACGACGTGAGTCAATCTACCCTGCCTTACCTTTTAAGCCCTTTTTATTACTCTACAGTACCTTATTCTCAATTCTCATACTCTATACTATCCTGCCTTACAGAATTTTACTCATGAGTATCATCATACCTTGATGCAATATTAATTTGTTTTAGTTGGTCGACTGGGCTTGTGATCAATTTACCTATGGATTCATTTGTACTGTTGGCCTAGGGTCGGCTGGCTTGGCCAGTAGTGTCCTCACTCCACATTACATTTGCACCTCCTTAATTGGCTCTCCAGTTTGTATGCAAATCGACAAACGGTCGATTTCCGACATGTTTAACGGAATTGGCCAACAATTTGACAACTTTGACCAAAATGAAAATTACGGCCAAAGGCAAAATTATAACAAAAACGGCCGATTTGACCAAAACGAAGATGCTTTGGCCATTTTAAGTCGAGTCTTCAACGATTCTCGACCGATTTATACCAAAAACCAAAAAGAATTTCAAGAAATATTGACCATGCTGCCAATTCAATCTCTGTCTGATGTCAAGCCTGCGGTCGATAATTTCCAAAAGGTGTGGCCAGCTTTTCGACCGGAAGATCAACAAGACCTGATCAAAATGGGTCATGACTTTAAGCAAAATGTGAAGAATGTGCCCATCGCACAGAGTTTGGACGATTTGAGAAGAATCAGCCATAAGTATAATGGAGCCTTGGACAATATGGCACAGAGCAATGGCCATAAACCAGCACAACAAGACTTTTAAGAAAAGTAGTTTTTGGACTAAAAATCAGTTTTTAAGCCTAAAATCCAGTTTTCAGTTTAAAAACAGATTTAAAAATAAAATCATAGGCTTAAAAATTAATTTTTAGGCAATAAAAGTCAAGATGTGCCAAAATATAATAATGTATGCCATCATTTGTTTATATTTTTATAATATTATAAGTTATTTATGCTTAATAAACTTGCTTTTAATATAAAAATTATGTGTAAGGTGGGTAGCGCGCTATACGTGAAACCAAGTTTTACGTCGAAAAATACTCAAAACTTAAAAATAACGAATAATATTCCTCAAAATTATAAAAATTATTAACCAAAACCTTTGCTGCTTTAACATTCAATTCACCAAGCAACACCTTTCATTTCCTTCAAAAACTCATCATAGCTTTGAGGTCAAGTGTAATACCGCAGGCTCTTAATAATAAAAAAATATACGTAAACTTCAAATGATTTTGACCTCAATTGTTAAAAAATCTATTGTTGTCTTTAATAAGACGTGGCAAACATGACGAAACTCAACATAATGCACATCACTTTTGTACCTTCTTCTGGGTCACAGGGGTGCTGATGATGTCTGAAAAAAAGTTTGTTAGTGTAATATAAAATCGGTAAAGAACACTTAATTTAACATAAAGATTATGTAAAGATACGGCATCTAGGTAAACTCCTAACGAAAAAAAATATCAACTTCAGAAAATCTTTTAGGTGCACTAAAAGGTAGAAGTTTCAGAAAGACGTAATCTCTTTGAAAATTTGTCAATTCTTATCAAAGGATTAAAAAATCAATGCAATAGAATTAAACTTACTATCTTGTTAAAACACCACTGGCACGACGTAACCTTATTATAAGCAAATTCATATACGCACATTAATGTTTAATCTAAAATTTTTTTTCCAGATTACTATATATCCATACTTAGTTGTTATAACTTAAAATATGAATGTTCCGGTTAAATGTGCTTATAATACAGGCCATTCTTCTGCATTGCTCTATCAACTCTCTTGTCAGATGTAATTGTTTGTTGTTCTTGATATTATCGGTTGTATTGTTTTCATAACGTTCTACCGTGTGTCTCTTGGTTCGATCGGTTACATACAAATGATTTGCAACATTTAGGCATTAAAATAAAATACAAGAATAAAAAATTATTGTAATAAAAATGTATTTTCAAACAGTTTATTTTATATTTCGAAGCAAACGGATATAAGATAGAATTTCGAATGGAAGTGTTGAATGGATCACTCCAAATAAATAAGACGTAGAACGTGACGATCGAATGTATAGGCGTATCATTTAGTTACCTTATGATTGGATCACGGGGCTGTTAGAGATGTCTGAAAAAAAGTTTTTCAGTGTAATATAAAATTTGTAAAAAACACTTAATTCAACATAAAGGTCATCTAAAGATACGGCATCTAGGTAGATTCCTAATGAAAAAAAAAAACTTCAGAAAATATTTTAGGTGCATTAAAAGGTTACTATTGGCGTTATGCTTACCGTGACACTTTTTCGCTACGACGCCACCTTCTTGCTTCATCGCCCCGGCAAGAACAAAATCTGTTTGCCGTAATTTGCTATCGGCTGGTGAATTTGATCCTAAATAACGCAGTGATTAAGTAGAGGTTTCAGAAAGCGTAAATACGATTTACTTTAAAACTTGGGAAATCGTGATATATTAAAGGGTCTGTCTTTGAAAAATTTGTCAATTCTTATCAAAGAATTAAAAAATCAATGCAAGAGAAAACTTACTATCTTGTTCAAAGACAACTGGCACTACGTATTGTCCTTGCCTCTGAACTTTTTTCCCGTTGTAGATCCAGTAAGATATGGTAAGCGTGCTTACCATTCGTAAAAGGACTAAACATTGGATGTTTGAAAAGTCCTGCAATCGTAGCGTGAGCTTCAGTTTAAATTGTTTGTAAAGTATATTGTCTTGAATCGGCATTATTGACCAAATGTTCGGCTGGCTGGATGAAAATTCTAGAACGATCTTGTGTGGCACATCCTTTTCAACTTCAATTTCCAATGTTTTGTATTGTAACGGCCGGGACTTTATCGGATTTGGAACTGTTTTGATGGGGATGCTCTGATGCTTAAAAAATTGTTTTTTAGTTTTTATAGGACCTAAGGCTACCTAAAACGTACGTCTAATAAACTACATGACGACGTAATGTTTGTATAGTAGGAAACAATCAAAAAAAGTGAAAACAATAAAAGGGTTTACTTACGTGTACCGGAGTTGAAGCGATCGGCTTCTTCTTTCTATGTCGTTTTGAAGAATTCGAAGACTTCATCTTCGACCGTTCCTTGGCCTCTCGCTTTCACAAATAATTTTTTTGAATGTTTTGGTTTGAAAAGGATATCTTCACATTTTGAAAAATACCAATTTATGCCAGCCGGTTGTAATTTTTGCCAGGGAGCCGAGAATATGGGTGTATTAATATCTCTACTAAAAACCCTTTTTGGAAATTTGGAATCAGGGACGTCGCTATAGGTTCCTCCCTCTCCATTTCCAATGAAAAATCTAAAAATTTTGATTTTAGGATCCTCGCGACAACTTTCTCAGTTCAGAATTCCGTGTCTATCGTCGGCAACAAGTGATAATCAATGAAGAAGGCAGAAAGCATGACATCGGCTAGGAAAGGGCTCTGCCCTATTATCATTATGCTACAAAAATGCACTTCAAGTGAAACAAATTTATTGGCATTTCGCTCTTCAACTATAAGTTTTGGGAATTTGAATCGAAACCGAATTTCTTTTTGACTTTTTGGATGAAAATACGACTAATGTGGAAGTATATTTTGCGGACAATGTAATAATGTAAGTATTTTTTGTTTTTTTTTGCTTTGATTTTTAGGTATTCGCGGGGTTTGTATATATACGTTTATTTGAAAGATATATAGATTCATTTGAGACTAATTATCTGAGATTTAGGTCTATTTTTTTGAATAATGGTTTTCAATATGGGAAGAGCTTTAATTAACACTTCCTAAATATTTGGGGGGTTTCTTTCAGTTTTTCGATGTTACGCGTCATTTCACCTGACATAATACTAGATAAACAAAGTTTATTGAAACTTAACTAAATTAGTCAAACATAATACCAATTTAGAGTTATAAATAAAGATTTAGTACAATATCTACGTAACTCAAGCTTCATAAGGCTATTGAAATACAGCTTGAGTATGGCCAATCCATCATTCAGACCAAGTCTTTTTTCAATTTCCGTTCTTTTTTCTCTCGTTCTGCTTCTTCCTCCCAGTCGATGCCATACTCTCTGCCTTCTTCATTGATTATCACTTGTTGTCGACGATAGGCACGGAAATCTGGACTAAAGTAGCAGAAAAGGGACTTGAGAAAGTTGTCGCGAGGATCCTAAATCGAAATTTTGAGATTTTTCATTGGAAACGAGTATTTTTTATGATTTTACGGTTTTCAAGTTTAAAAAGTTGTCATTTTGCATTGAAAATGAAGGCAAAAATGATTGTTTTCCATTTGAATTTAAGAAAATGGACTTACGTCTACTTTGCGGTCAAGATAGTTAAATGAGTTCATCGTGCAACAGATTAGGGAAAGGATAAATGCTATCATCCCAATGAAAATGAAATTCACGTCCAAGTAGAAGTTTTCATTCAACATCGCGCCCTCGTAACTTGGATTGCAGGTGAACACGATTAACTAAAACAATGTTATTATTAATAGCATAAGGGGTGGGGGAAGTAATGTCATAGTTTTGTCAAGAATAGTACTATGATGGTTCTGATTTTAGAAAAATAGGTTTATACTGATCCTAATTTTAGTAAAAACAGCACTATAGTAGTACTGAGCTTGGGAATAATAGTACCATACTAGTATGAAAAACAAAAACAGTACTATACGTGTCCTACTTAACAGAATTATACCATAACAGAACTGATTTCATAAAGAAATGGTACCAGGCCTGTTTTTACAAAAAATAGTACCAAACTGGTCTTGATTTTAGAAAAAATAGTGCCATAAGAGCCAGGCCTTATCTAATTTATCAATTTTCTATTATATTAATGACCTATTTCAATAAAAAATATTAAACTTACTTCAAAGAAACTTCTAAAAACCGACATTTTGCTCCAAAATCGACCGGTCGCAACGAAATTTTTTAACAATTGGGAAATTTGAAAAAAAAATTTTTTTCAAAAATTTTTAAAATTAAAAAAAAAATTTTTTTTGAATATTGAAAGCCCGAAAATATTTAAAATTTTGTTTTTTTATTTGAAAAAATTTTTTTTGGATTTTGACCATTTTGTTTGTACACCATCTTCTACGAATGTCGGCGCTTTTCGGTCGTTCCGACGCGTTTTGTCTAACTTTTCTTGAATTTTGTAAGCTTTTTGGTTCATTACTTTATAGAATATTGGTCAAAAAGTATGTAGAATTGAATTTTGTTTTAAAATTTTTTTTTTTCATTTTGAAATTTGGGTAGGGTAAAGTAGGGTAGGTTGGGCAGGGTAATAAAAGGTAGGAAGGATAGGGTAAAGTAGGGCGGCGAAATAATATGGCTAGGCTATGATATTTTAGGCTAAAATCTGATTTTTTACAATCTTTCAGACCTAAAAAATAACCTTTTCTATAAACTTTTTGACCTTAATCTATAATTTTTAACATAACCAATCTCATCATTCCAGACGTCTATGTAACTACCCTGTGCCTACTATACACGCTGTCGTTGAACTGTACGAAGAAGAAGAATGGGAAGCCGAGTTTGTGCATGTCCGATTGCTCAGCCTCGACCACGATCACATGCGACCGGTCGGTCGAGAAGAAGGACAGCCCCAAAGTGCCCAAGAAAGTCAAGAAAAAGAAGGCTCCGAGCAAGGAGACCGCCAAGCGAGAAGTGTCTATCAAACTGGTACCTAAAAACAATGTGAAACAGGACTCGACAAAGGTTGTGAATGCTTCGACTGGCACTCCGTCGGCTGAAGCAAAGTGAGTTGGTTTTGTAAGTTGGGTTATGGCCAGGGACGTCGTTTGGACGGGGGGGGGGTGGTTTGGGGTGACTTCACTGGTTAGGGCATTGTAGGGTATAGAGGGTAGAGTAAGCTATAGTATTATAGAGTAAGGTGCGCTATGACTGGGAGGGTAAGGTAAAGTATGGTATTGTAAGGTGTTATAGGACAGGGCAAGGTACGGTAGGATAGGGTAGGGTACGGTAGGATAGGGTAGAGTAAGGTAAAGTATGGTATTGTAAGGCGTGTTAGGGCAGGGTAAGGTACGGTAGGGTAGGGTATATAGAAATAGGGAATGAGTCGGGCCAGGCCTGAGCAAAATTTTGGTCGGGCCGGGTCTGGAAATTCCGGAAAAGCCGGCCTTGTCTGTTTGTAAAAAAATCCGGGCTGGGCCTGGGTTTGGAAAAAAACTTAGGTCGGACCGGGCCTGAAACTTGGGCCCGACTCGTTCCCCATGACTAAGGGACTAGGGTAGGGTATGGCAATGTAGAGTAGAGTAGAGGGTAGGGTAGGGTAATGTAGAGTAGGGTAGAGTAGTGTAGGGTAGGTAGGGTAGGGTAGGATAGGGCAGGGTAGGGTAGGGTAGGGTAGGGTAAGGTAAAGTAGAAGGTCACGGCCTACAGTAAGATTTGGTTTTTTACGTCTATTCCCTTGGCTCTGAGGGTAGGGCAAGATAAAGTCTATTTATAATAGGTTTATGTTTTTATAATATTTGTTCTCTAGAGGTCAGCTCAAAAAGGTAAAACCCTACTTTTCAGACCAAGAGTAATCGAAAAAGAAACAGGCGAATGTGATAAGGCGGACGGAGACTCGGATCCAGAAGCGAAGGGCGAGAACACGTGTACGATCAGTTTGGGCCGAAATCTCAGCGACTCGAACAGTCATCGAACCATCGTTCCGTCGGATACTGACAGGTACTTTTGCCCAGCTTATATTATATTAGGTCGAACCAAAATCAGCGGGACGCTTTCCATCTGTTGTTCAATTAAGAAGTGTCCCACTATTATTGGTTCAAACTAATAATGCTAAAATTGATAATGCTAACCTAATAATGCTAAAATTGGCAGGTTCTATATCTTTTACTTGAAGATGTTGATGTATTTTGCTATTCCAGGTCACTAATCCGCATGGACAACACCCAACACTCGTCGAAGACGCTACGCTCCAAAAAACACTTTATCCCTCGGCCCAAACCCGTCGCAACCTCCCCGACGATAAAGCCTACATCAACAAACCAACCAACAGATGAGAATAAAGTGGTAATCTAATATTGTGGGTTCATTTTGGGTTACATGTGTTGCTTCATATATTATCTTGGATTGGTTTGGACGGGAGGGTAAAGATATAAAGAGACTTTAGGGTATGGCAGGGAAGGGATGAATAAAGTAGGGTAGGGTAGAGGCGGAGAGCGTAGAGTAGGATAGTGTAGGATAGGGTAAAGTAGGGTAGAGAACGGTAGGTAGAATAAGGTATTGATTCTTCAATTCGCTCGTACACTTGTTACCTTCTTCTATTCGGCCGTACACAAGTTGCTCTCAACTCAATTCGTCCGTACATAAGTTTCCATAACGAACATTCAATACCATTTCAGATAACATTAACCTTGATTTTTACCATCAAATCACTCCCAAAACACCGAGATTAATATAGGTTATGTTTACTTCGTTTCTAATCGGATTAAATTTGTGAAATAAATACATTAAATAGGTAAAAGATCATCAACAATATGCTTAATCATGAACAATATCACCTAGATCTGCACAATTATAGCCTTAAACTCTTTGTAACATATTGAATATAGCCTTAAACTCTTCATAACATTAACTATAGCCTTTACATCATAATATCATTTTAAATATAGGCTTTACATGTTCGTATTTTCTTAACAATATTACTTATAACACTATATCTTGTTAACTATAGTGGATCAGTGATGAATGAATGCTTGAGGGCTTCGCCGCAGGTGATACGCTTCGAAGTCTCCAGATTGAGCATCGAATCCAGAAAGTCTTTGAACTGTTCGACGCGTTTGAAGCCGTCACGGTCCAGTTCTTGGTCGCCGATGAGGTCGGTCAACAGGTCTCGGGTCGGCCTTATCACTGGTAGAACGGTCACTTTTTCCTGAAAAATTGAAATTTCAATACGAAACGGCAATTTTAAAATACAAAAAGTTACAAATTTCGTTTCAAAAATGTGAAAAGTGACATGTTATACGATGAAACATGTCCGGCCGACTGCGCCCTACAAAAATGTTTGTTTACATTGGAAACGAAGATTTTAACATTTAAAATGCTGTAAAATACCGTATTTGTTATGAAAATAAAACTTTTTATCCATTTCTCATAAAAACCTAAAAAAAGTGACATGTTATACGGCGAAACATGTCCCAAAGCAATTTTCAAAAATTCAAAAACCCACCCTCTGCGTGACTTTGTCCACTTCATTGTAGATGAAATTGCAATTGAAATCGAAATGTTGGTCCTTGAAGATGGCTTTTCGAATGACTTTGTTCGGCAGCTTGCCCTTCATATCCATCATGTACTTCAACATCTGATTGTTCGATTTGCCCGGGAACATGATTCGACCGGTATAAACTTCGAATAGGGTGACGGCCACAGACCAGAGATCTATTCCGTAGTCGTATGGGAGACCGAGCACTGAAATTTTTGAAATTATTTTAATTTTTTTGGTTTTTAATTTTTACGAGCTGCGCCCTCAACAATTTTTTTTTCAAAAATTTAAAATTATTTTCATTTCTGACCTTAAATATAGTTTTTCTACCCCAAAATTTATTATAATTATAAAACTATTCATCGTATAAGTTGTCATCAGCGGCCTGCAAAATTCAATTTTTCGAGCTGCCCCTCAACTTTAAAAATTTTTATAAAAAAATATCATTTATCGTAACACGCATTTTGAAAATCATTTTTAACCCTACCAACTCTTAAATTTTGACATCTATTGCGTATCGTACAACTTGTCACTCGCAGCCTGCAAAATGCAATTTTCCAAGCTGCGCCCTCAATTTTTCAAATTTATTTTAAAAACCATCTCACTTATTCTAAAATACATTTAAAAAATCATTTTACACCTTATCAACCATCAAACTTTGACACCTATTGGTTATCGTATAACTTGTCACCCGCAGTCTGCAGAGTAAATAAATTCGAAAAAAACTGACCGTATTTTACATAAAAATTAAAAATTGCCTTTTAAAACCCCAAAACTAATAAAAAATTAAAACTCACTAATCTCCGGCGCTCTGTAGAACCGCGAGACCAAGTATGGTGCCGGCTCGGTATCTCCAACATGGCTAGCTGATCCGAAATCACACAATTTCAGGGTCAATTTGTTCTCGGCGACCAGGATATTGTCTGGTTTGATGTCTGCATGTAATATCGAGCACTTCTTCAGCAATTTCAGCGACATTAGTAGTTGTTGGGCGTAGGAGCGGACCGCTTTCATGTGAAGACCAACGTTATTGCCGTATTTTTTGAGGAGTTCGCGCAAGTTCATACTGAAAAATGGTCGGATTGGCATGGGTTTGAAATGAATTTCAAAAAAAATTTTTATGTAGTTTATAAAAAATATATTTTCGTTCGTATTTCTGTACTTTTTAGTACTTAAAACCTCAAAATCTAATTGAAAAACATCAAAAATGGCAATTTTTAACCCAAAAACCATCAAAACTTCCGCTTTTTGGCCAGAATATCACCCAAATCTTGCTTTTTAACTTAAAATCTTTAAAGTCTTCTATGTAAAAAATCCCTTTTCTTATCATTACTGTACTCTTTATCACCCAAAAAATGAAAATTATGCTCAAATAACTTCAAAAACGACACTTTTCAGCCTAAAAACGGCGTTTTTCTCCCAAAAACAGCAATTTTTGGGTCCAGAAACTATCAAATTCTCACTTTAAAACTATCATATCCCCTTTTTAAACTTAAAATCTCAAAAAAATACTCTACTCTACCCTACTCTACCTTACCCTAATCTACCCTACCCTAACCTACCCACCCTACTACATCTTATCTGTCCCGCCTCACCATACTCTACAGTTTAAAAAACCTTTTCAAACCTTTTAAAACAGCCTTACCTTAAACTTTCGAATACCAAGCAGATGTGATTGTGATGGTTGAAGGATCTGTGTAGCCGTAGGCAGTGGAACTTGTCTTCTCTGTCGGCTTCGTTCAACTTCCGCAGGGTTTCCAACTCTCTCATACCTGTTTTTCGCCTGAAATTTGGCAAAATTTATATTCAATTGTCAAAAAAATATTTTTTTACATCTTAGCTATCTTTTTTTATCATCAACTGTCTACCTTTACTTATTTTTAGCGAGTTTTACCCGTTTCTTCGATGCCCTTCTACAATATGTTGCAATGGTATGTTTCATCGTATAACTTGTCACCCATAGTTGAAAGACAAAAATTTAGTCAAACTAAAATATGCGATGCGTATTTTACCACCTATTATCACACCATAATACACAAAACCTCCAACCTGATAAGACGCATTTTACTTTTCATCGTATAACTTGGCACCCGCAGCCTGCAAGCACCTATAATCTCTAACTACGCCCCCAAATTTCACTTTCTACCATCGTTTAGTATTTCACAACATACTGACTCCAAATTTCACATTTTTTAAATTTCCAAAAAAATCGACCCCGCATGCTATTTCCATCGTATAAAATGACCCCGCAGACTGCACTCCATACCATTTCAAACTTACATGATTTCATTGTTTCTGATGATTTTGATGGCAACTTTTCGGTCTTTTTTGCGTATGTCCGTGGCTCTGACGACGTTTCCGAATACACCTGATCCGGTATATCCATACACGCGATACCTGTTGTCTATCACTTCTCCTACTCGTACTCCTGAAACGATTTTTTAAAATTTTTAGTACCAATACAATCTACTATAACATATTTTTTAATAATACAATGCTTTACTCAACCATTCTTTATATATATGATAAGGTGTTAAGCCTTAAAAACCCTTTAAAAATTCAAAAACACCATTTCGAAGCCTTTAAACCTACTATAATATCCTTCCTCATCGTCCCAATTGTCTTTCATCGACGCATTACTCGCGTCCATCGACGCAATCGTAGCAGCTTGAGCTATGGCCTGAAAAGCGTGGACTAGATTAGCTACCGCCGCCCTGGTACGCCATGCCAGCTGACTGTCTTTGAAGCCCCCACTTGACGAAGCTATTGATGACAAGTCATCTAACTCATCTTCGTCGATGATTTGACTGTTCGTCTTCATCAACCATGAGTACAGCTCTTCCAGGGATTCGCTGGAGCTGGTTGATGATATTTCTTGTAGGTCGGTGAGATCGTATTTTAGGTTTTTGTCATATTTGTCTAGTTTTAGGCTTGAATATTGGTCTATATTATATTGTTTTAGTTGATTTTTGGGTATTAGGTCGAGATTTTCGGGCAATTGGTCGATATTTAGATCGATTTTGGAAATCTCATCAAACTTTTCATTTTTGCCTAATGATAGCTCGTACTTTACGTCTGTAATATCGTACTTCTTATCATGTTCAAAGACCTCGAACTCGTTCAGGGTGTTTTCATTGTTGATAGCGCTGATCTTTCTGCCATTATTAATTGTATCTTCTTTTTTGCCAACCTTTTGTCGCTTCCAAAACAACTTGAGGTCGAGTTTTTTGTCGGATTTGACGAGTTTCAGGTCGAAGCGCTTCTTTTCCTTGTTCAAAACAAGTTCGGTCACCTTGAATAAAGGCTTCGGAATCTCGGTTTCGGTTTTTATTGTCATTTCGCATGTAACTGGAATGGGTATGTGGTGAAAAATGTTATAAAACACGAGCACTTAGACATGATAACGATAAAAATGGCCTGGGCAACCAATTCGGCCTAAAGCATTATTTAAAAGAAGGAGATAGCCTACTATAATATAGTGAGAATCACTTTACTCCAATACAGTAAAAGCTAACCTACTAAGAATTTATACAGTAAGAGGTACTTTACTTATTTTTTATACAGGAAAGCCTACCTTACAAAGACTTTACACCGTAAGAGCTACCTTACTAAGCCGTTTATACAGTAAGAGCTTCCTTACTCAGTTAGAACCTTCCTATTACAAAAGATTTACAGTCATACTAAAGTAAATGCTTTCTAAAACAACATCTTCTATAAAAAACTCCATGTACACTACATTTTTGTTAATTTTGGTACGTTTTTCTAAGAATAACAGTAAATATAGCGTGTCAGAAGTTTCTATAAACAAAAAACGATATTGACAGTCAGGGCCGGGCGCGAGGGGGGGAGGGGGGGGGGACGGGGGGGACGGGGGGGGTACCCCCCCATCCCAAAAAAAAATTTAAAAAAAAATTTGAACGTGGTCCCCCTGTAGATTTTTGGAAAAAAATTTTCGCAAAAAATCGGCACAGGTAGCTTCGGCACAGGTAGATAAATGTGCCGATTTTTTGGACCCCCGCCCCCACCCCAAAAGTCCCCGCCCGGCCCTGTTGACAGTGCACAATACTATAATTGGAAGGCTAAGCAATTGCCAAAAATAATTTTGTTATCACTTCAACTAAATTTTGCGTGTATTACTACTATTAGTATTGGAAAAATATCGTAGTAGAATAACTCGATTAATATTACATAGTCGTATCTTGTTATAAGAAACAAAGGCAACAACTTTCTTAGTTTTTACAACAAGAGTAAACTGTAAAATATCGATCGAGTCTCTACTACAATATCGTTTCTTTACCAATGATAGTAATACGTGCAAAATTGAGTTGAAGTGATAAGAAAGGTATTGTTTAGTAATTGTTCAGCCGTCCAATCATATTATTGTACACTGTCAATATCAATTTATTGTTTCTATAACCTTCTGATGCATTATATTTGCCGCTATTCTTAGAACAACACATCAAAATCATACAAAATATATAGTACATAGCAGTTTTTATAGCAAATTAAGTTTTAAAAAGCATTCACTTTCGTATGACTGTAAATTATGTTGTTGTAGAAACGTTAAGTTGGTAAATTGGCCATGACTGTATATATTCTTAGTAAGAAAACGCTTACTATATAAGCTAACAAAAACGCTTGTAAGTATAATATGTAAATACGTCAAGATAACACAGCTACCCATAATAAAGACAAAATACTACCTAACTTCAAGACAACGTCATCCCAGTAAGATGAACTTGTTTTCACCTCAACCATAACATCCTCAATGTTGTTTTGTAAAAGTAAAGAAAATTAGACTATAAAGATAATTTCTGAATGCCTTCTAATTGGATTCTGACGTAATTGTGGAAGTTGTAGTGCTATTATGCTAATTTCAATACAAAGAGCATGGAGGATACTACGTATTTGGAAATTAGAGGTCTCGCTACTATAGATAATGGTAATTAAATTAGTTTTTTTAAATGTAAAATAGGACTATTGTAGCTGTTACAAATATATGGCCATTCTAGCTTTTACAAGAATCGATTTTATTAACAAATTAGTTTCAAACTACAAGGTTAATAATTTAAAACTACAAGAATGACACCATTATGTATCGGAAATTTAAGCCAAACCAACCGGAAGTCAAACAAATAACCTTTGCAGGGCCTTGTACTCAAAATCATAAGACACTTTTTGATGACATATCGTCCTATTTCATGGTATAACAAACATAGAGGCGTTTACAGATTTCAAAATTAATATAATGTTCAAATCCGATTTCAATCTCAAATCAAATCTAACACATACTTTGAACCAAACTATAAACAAAAGTCAAAAAGTCAGAGTAAACATCTATAACAAGATCAGAGAGTAAAATCTAATCCGAGAATTACGCCCTCACTTTATCATGACTCTAATGTAAATATGTAAAGTAGTTTTTACAGTAAGAACCCCGGTATAGCGGGCAATTGTTATGAAAAGTTCACCATGAACGACAAGCCTAACTCATACAATGTCATAGTTCAAACTCCGTACCATGAACTAGAACAATAAAACTTATTGAAAACGACATATTAAGCTTCGAAAACAAAGCCATGAACCAGTTAAACCTCAAAGCACCTCATCAACCAAAATTAAACCTCAAAACACCTCATTAAGCCGAATAAAATCTCATTATACAACAAATTAACCCAATACAAATACGACTTTAAGTTGTGACAACACCCCACGCACCCCCAATCCTACTGTATAAACTGTTTGACCCGCAAACTCTTCCTTAATTTTCTCGCTGCGAAGAAAAAACCGGCTGCCCCCAACAATTTCCGAACAAACATGAGGCAGTAACTCCGCCCCATCGTGGAACCCCGTGTGTCTATTTGCATATTGTTCGTTTTAATTTCAAATATCAGCGCTATTGTTTTCGGCGACAAACAATAAACAAAACACACAACTAAATTTAGACAAACAGTATGCAAAAGTTTGGGGCTAAAACAAGGAGCTTGTTAGTTTTTGTTTAGAACAATATATGATATTCAACTTTGGAACAATAACATGGTGTAAATATAGGTTAAGTGGATCCGGAGTTAGAATAGTTTTTTTGAGATGCAAATTTTGTAAACAGTGTTACAGTAAGCTTTGGTACAGTGTTACAATAGGCTTTAGATAAAATCGTGTATTTGTGGAAGCGCTATCCTTTACCAACTTTTCGTCAAAACACCCATCTTGATAACTGACAACTATATTTTACCGACTTAAAACAAACCGATAACTTATAAAACAGTTACTGTAACTTTCCTTTTAGCATAGAACATTGTTTATAATAGCTAAAGAAGTGTGTATCCTCGGCAATTTTAATTGTTTCAAAGCGTGTTTTGTAGTATTCAATAGCTTTTCAGCTTCTTGTTTCCAACATAAAAGGTACGTTCAAGAAACATAGTAGCAAAGAGCACTGTGAATTTAAAAAATTCTTTTGTAAACCTTTGAAAACAAGTGTTTTTCTATTAATATTTGCAAAACCACAATAAATTAAACAAACGATGACTTTAAAATGTGTTTTTGAGCTTCCAAACTTCGTTTTTCTACAGTAAACCCAACATTATCGTATTTTTTATAAAACCAATCAAAATCGCATCCAGAAGACCTGATACAGAGCCAAAAACTTTAACTATTTGCCCTTAAAAGGCTCGACCATATTTAGACAATCTGATACTATCAACTTTCACGTAGACCTATTGTCATTGAAACAATACCCAAACAGCCGTAAGAACTAAGACTTCGAACTCGTATTGACACTTCATACTCGACCAAGCAATAACATTGCCACCTTTTTGCATGCTCACCGTGTTTTAACGTATACAAGAATGCGTAATTTTGCGTAAAGACCAAAGTATTCGAATACTTCAATAGTATTTAATGTTTTGAAAAACCTTTGAAACATTTCGTGTTATGGAATTTTTGGAATGTAATAACTTCGTATTTGCAAAGCAATAACATATTTAACAATATCTTTCCTATGCCAGGTAAAAAAATCTTAGTTCCTTAAGAGCCACATAATCATTTATACACAAGAAAACGATCTTACCCTCCCCACATTGCCGAATTAACAATTTTACTTTGCCCAACTTGCCAAATAAACAACCTTAACCTCCCCAACTTGCCAAACACACAACCTTACCCCCACCAAGCTTAAGCCTACAAACGATCTTTGCCCTCCAACCCCCTTTTAAAACCCTTAAAAAAATTAAAAAAACGTTTTTTCCTACCATATTCTTTAATAGTCCTATTTATACGCCTTTTAATGTACTTTGCTCTTCAAAGTTCAAAACCAAATAGTATGCAAAACCGAGCCAAGAAAAACCATAGAAACGCACTTTAAAAGCCATATCTTCAATTATTTACATTTGGGCCAATAAAACCATAACATAACCATAAATCCACAATCTTCAAATGTCTTGCTTGCTTTTTAAAATTCAAAAAAAGCAATCAAAGCAGACGAATCTTCGGAGTTATGATATCAAATTTAATGTTCTTGCAATGGGTTTAAGGGGTTTAGAATCTTGTGAAGATAATGTGAGGGCAAAAATACAATTATTTTTTAAATACGGTAAATTCTACCCCAGAACCACTCTAGTCAAGCTACAGAAGCCATAGAAGCAGCCTAGCCAATTTCATCCTATATAAGCCTTAGAAGCGGCCTGGTCGAGTTAACCCTGTAGAAGCCTTATAAGCACCAACTTAGTCGAGTTCAGCCTTTATCAGTCCTACAAACAACCTAATCGAGTTTAACTTACAGTGAAGCGTAAGGCATCACCCAGACCTCACTTTCAATCAAACTCTACCCTAGCAAAACCAATGCCAATGCCCATGACCTCAATCCCCCATCATTCCCATATGTCAATTCGACAATCTCCAAGTATCATAACTATCAAAAAGTGCGTTCACATTTAATGTCATAACGTTTTGAGTCCACAACAAAACGCTCAAGGGGTTTAAACTTCCGCTGTGAATTTCGTTTGAAAAAAGTCGAGTTTTATTGTTCTCCGCAATCAACAACAAACCTCAGAGTTTAAATTTAAAGTACGTTTTGCACAATTTACAGTGTCTTATAGTTGGAGAAAATGTCAATAAATGGAGGTTGGAGAGCAAATGAGTCAACATTTTGAATGCTACTGAATGTAGCAATATGATTGCATACAAAAATTGACTTTGCACGTTTTTTGGAAATGTCATAGTTTTAAAAGAGCAATTTAAAAACTTAACTTTTTTTAATTCGAAAGCTACCCTAAGTTCCTTACACTACCCTCCCAAGTTTACACCCTCCATTCTCTATCAAAATTTCACAATTTCGAACCT